GAGCCTATTATAAAGCAGCCGTGAAGACAGCCACATTTTATTTCTTTCCATCTTTCAAGGTAGAGTGGAGCTCAGAGAGGTTGAGTAACTAGGGAAGGGATACCCAGCAATTGATAGCTGTTTGGTTCAGAAACCTTGCAGGGTGTGGTGGGATGTACCTTTAAATCCAACCCTGACACAGAGGCAGTCGAATTTCTGTGAGTTCAAGGCCAGCTTGGTGTTCATATCAAGTTGCAGGACAACCAGGCCTACTACATAAAGAGACCCTGTCTCAACAGACAAAACAAACAAACGAAAACCTCTGTCTTCCACTAGACATCCCCTCACAGAGTCTAACAATGCCTGGTAAGAGGCTCATGAGACACACAGCCCCACAGAAGGCAGCCACCTCTCTGTTCTCCAGTGACAGCCTCCTGCAGGGCCTGCTCCCACCCTTCTCTGGGCCCCTTTTGCAGACCCTCGGAACAGCACAGATGCAGGGCTTCTACCGCCCCCCTGGGGGTGATGGCAAGGCGGTGATCCAGGCAGAGCAGCCTGGCAAACCAGACCATGGAGGTCTCCCTCCTGCTAACACCCCTCCCTGTTCCCATCTGCCCCTCCCTTTTGTGGGTCAAGGCTGCCAGCTTCTGATTCTGCTTCATTATGCTCTGGGGGAAGGGAGAGTCGGGGTGACAGGGTGTCTATGTGCATGAACATAAGGCCTCTGGGTTCATTCTGACGCTGAATGAAAAACTCGCCAATTATTCGTCCAATCTCATTAATATGCAGACAGACATCTGTTATTTAGGAGTCAACAGCAGAGGCATTTTCTTGGGGGGGAGGGGCACTTATGTACATCTCTCATCTCTGGCTACTGTGGGATAGCTGCTTGGGACTCACTCCCGCCCCCGCCCCCCCCCCCCGAATCTGGAGCACCCCTCTCTGACCTCATAGCAGTACTTTGGAAGGGAAGTAGAGGTTGACTAGAGATGGAGGGCATTCCTGGAACTCAGAAAGGAGGGAGTCAGAGGGGAACCAAAATTATGAAGGAAACTACTGGAACAAAGAGCCGAGCTCCTCCTTGGGGAAGAGCATGAAGCAGAGGAGAGAGCTGCACTAAGATCTGCTGTCCACTGGGAAGTTGGAGACATGACTACTTGCCCTCCTCTTCAGGCCACTGGACAAATCCAATGGATCTGTGTGGGTTGCTCTAAAAATATGGGGCACTTAGAGACTGTAGAAACCTGGGCATGGGAGCATCCACCGGTAATCCCAGTACTGTTATGGCTGAGGCAGGAGGATTGCAAGTTCGTGGCCAGTCTGAGTTGCATAATAAAATCATGCCTGAAAAACAAAAACATCTGGGCACTGTGGCCCAAGCCTGTATCCCTCAATAACCATTTTATGATGCTTGTAGGAAGTGAGCTGGGTGCTGTATGCTGAGAGTCAAATATTTATCTATATGTAGAGAGATGAGCGTGGATGTGTGCGTGTGTGGGTGTGTGTTTGTTTTCCCCTGAAACAGTGTCTTAACTATGTAGCCCCAGGTGTCCTGGAACTCACTATGTAGACCAGGATGGTCTCAAACAGAGATCCGCCTGCCCTTGCTTCCTGAGTGCTGCGATCAAAGGCCCCACTGCCTATCTGGCCGTTCTGAACAACTTTGTGAGACCCTGTTTTAAAATAAAAGGCAAAAAGAAAAGGGAGGTTAAAAAAAAAAAAAAGGAAAGAAAAGAAAAGAAAATGAAAAGGGAGTCCCCAGGGAAGGGCACACCAATTGGTTAGCTAAGTGGAAATGATCAGCCCAGAAAACACACACATATATACTTAGAACCGTAACAATGTTTTAAAAGGAGGCCATGAATTTGAATGAGAGCACCGTGGGAGGGTACATGGGAAGGGTTGGAAAGGGAAGGAAGGAAATTATAGAGTTATAATCTCAAAAAAAAATAGATAAAATTCAAGGGGGACATGGATCTAGCTCAGTGGGATGCTATCGTGGCAAACAGAGTCAATCCCCAATGAAAAAGAAAAGATGAAACCTGGCTCTTCAGACCCAGCTCAGGTGCACTTACGTCTACCACCATGTTGACTAGAAAGACTGACACCAGGCTGGGCGTGGTGGTGCAGACCATTGATCCCAGCACTTGGGAGGCAGAGGCAGACGGATGGCTGAGAGTTCAAGGCCAGCCTGGTAGACATGTTAAGTTCCAGGAGAGTCAGAGAAACTGTCTCAAAAAAACAAAAACAACAAGAGATGGACGCCAGCTCAGACCCTGTCAATTGGCTTTCGCGAATTCTTTCTGCTCTCAGGAGAGTCCCCTCAAAGAGATAGATATGATCAGCCCCCTTCCCTAGGTATGAAAACGAAGGGTCAAGCAGGTACTGGGCCCTGCCCAGTGCTGTCCAGGGGGAAAGCACCAGGCCTGGACCCAAGACCTAAGGCTCTATGACTGACCCGCTGGGAAGGGCTGGAGTCACTGCTGAGCTTGGGGGCTTTATAGGCTGAAGTGTCTGAGAAGTTAAGCCCGGGAGACTCTCAACCTACCCTGGTGTGTGTATTTCATTAAATGATTATCAGTGAGTGCTACACTGGTGTCTAATTTGTGGAGGAAACAGCCACAGAGGAAGAAGCTGAATCTAACTCTTAGATGTGGGGCAGGGGGTTGGGGGCAGACGTAAAGTCCCCTCCAGCCTGCAAGGACATTTTTGGACCTATGAACAGCCCCACTGCCTCTTCCCACACGTTGGGCTCCGAGGTCCTGAGACCCATTCTCCTCTGCAGAAATAGGCAACACAGCCCTGCAGAGGGAACCAAATTCCCTTCCCACTGCTTTTGGAAATATATTAAACATTGGGGGGTTCCTTCAACTGATTTATCTTCCTAATTATGTTTGCTTTAGGCAGATATTGAAATACATTTGCATTCTCTAAGCACAAATTGTGGATGGCACAGGAGAAAGGTTGGGGGACGAAAGGGACTGCAAACATGCTGGCCTGTCGTGGCTACCGGCCCCAGCCTACTTCGTATTGGGTGTCTAAGAGAAGTGACCTGCCAAAAATCTCAAGTCAATGCTTTTGAAGGTGGCAGAGTGTCATTCTGTAGCCCACGATGGCCCTGTCCTCTCAGCAATTCCCCTGCTTCAGCCTCCCTAATACTGTGATTACAGGCACTGACCACCATGACCCCTCCCAAGTTCATTTTACAGCAAGTCCCTACCAAGGAAAAACAATCAGTCTTCTGTCAGGCAGAGCCCCATCCTCTCTAGCACCTCTGGGTTCACCTCTGGGGCCCTTGAGGAAGGTTTCAGAGTCAGCCCCTAAGCGGTGGAGGCGTTGTACCTAGACTCCCTTAGGTGGCAGGGATGGCTTTGGGATAGGAGTCCCACAGCCTCAAGGTGGTGGGGGGTGTCCAGTAAGCCAGAAAATTAGGAAGAAGTTCCTTTCCAGAGAACCGGGTCTGGCAGAGGGAAAGGAGGAGATATTTTAGGTGTCATATTTCATAGAGCTCAAACACTTATTCTCCACTGACTCACCCATCCCAGGAGCCAAATCCAATCACTTCTGCCTCAGATCCCTGGTGGCTCCTCACAGGGAGGTACTGACTTCCTGTGGGCTCTTCAGTGGCCTCACGGGAACTTTCCAGCCTTGTCTTCCCTCCATCCTGTGGAAACCCTGCCATGCCACACACACACTCTCTCTCTCCTCTGTACATCTGTACCTCTTGCACCTATGCCAGCAGAACCTGGCGCCTTTCCCTCCCCGACCCCCGGGCAACTCCCGCAGGACTTACTGGCTCAGGGAGCCCCACAGCAGCCTGCATGTATGTAGAGTCCCTTAGCCAAGGTAACCTCTATACCAGTGGTTCTCAACCTGTGGGTCACGACCCTTCTGGAAGTCAAACGATCTTTTCACAGGGGCCACCTAAGACATTCAGAAAATACGGATGTTTACTTTGCAATTCATAACAGTAGCGAGATCACCGTTATGAAGTAGCAACAAAAGTAATTTTATGGTGGGGGGGTCACCACCACATGAGTTGCTGTATTAAAGGGTTGCAGTGTTAGGAAGGTTGAGAACCACTGATCTAGACTTAGGGTTCCTCCTTTCCCTACTGGGCTAGCCTCCAGCAGCTCAGAGTCTGTCTTCGTCTCTCAGTCTAATGTGTGGCACTGTTGGCGCAGTGCGTGCTTGGCGGATTCCTAGAGGGGTGGGGTGTGCACAGAGAGGGTCGAAGCAGATGGGAGGGTTAGGCCTGCCTTTGGTCTCTCCTAATGTTTCTGGGAGAACTGGGTGGGTTTGATCTGGGGGAGGGTAGAGCCGCGAATGGATGGTTCCTGGGGGAGAATGTCACCAAAAAGAGGCCAGTGGGACCAGAGCCAAGGAGGGAATACAGGACAATCTGAAACCAGACTCCCAAGAAAACAGACCAGCACTGTCCTTGCTGACAAGGACTGCGGCCATCCCCTCCACCAGCTTTTATTCGCCAGGGGCTGGGCTAGGGATAACAACTCTCGATGACAAATGATGCTCCCCCACCAATCATCAAGGAACTCAAGATGGAACTGAGGAGGCAGAGCCCCTGTCTGGGCCCCTGAAGAAACCCCAGGGGTTACCACCCCCTTAGGAAACTTGACCTTGCACGGGGTTCAGATTCAACCATGTGGGAGCTTTCAATGCCTTCCTGTCTTCCTAATCCTTAGAGCATCAGCAGGCTCCAAGCCAGGGCGGAGACGGTGAACAAGGGGCCTGTGCCACTTCAGCAGGCCCTCTGCCATGCCAGCAGAGCACCCGGCCAGGCTGACTAATGCCGAGCAGTTGTATATCATCAGTTCACTCCAAGCGTCCTGTGGCCCCCCCACCCCCCGGGCTGTCTATCCACATTAACTCTCCCACCCTTGGCTCCTAAACTTGATTCTTCGGTGCAGGGCTTTTTCCCCGTGTTTTCTCTGTGGGTGAGGATGCTGGTAGATTGGTTGGGGTTGGGGGTGTGTGTGAAGGAACACAGAACTAAGGCCATAGCCGTTTTCCATGGTCATGGGCTTTATTTGCCGACTGCTGAGGAAAGGGGGGGAAGCTAGAACTGGCTGGCGGGTTGATGGTAGGAAAGGACTTCTTGCTTTAAAATTTAGTTCGAGTTGTTTGGAGGTTAGAATGTGTGAGAACAGATGTGGAAGTGAGAGGAGAGAAAAAGAGAACGTCACCAAATGGACACTTTCCTTAGGGAAGGCAGATAGGACATGGGGACCGGGGTAAGGAGGGAAGATACACTTTACGTAGAAGACTCAACCAAAGTCATTGTTTGATGCTGGCTTCCCAAACACCCACCTGCCTCGTCCAAGTTCATGCCCCAGATGCCTACCCTGTCAGCCCTCTCAGCTGCCAGAGAAGGGGATAAGGATCTGGAGAATGGTGACACATTTCTGTCCTCTAGCCTCTCCGACCAAATTGCTCCTCTGCCTGCCCTGCCCTTCCAGCCAGGGTCAGGAGGTCAAAAAGTCCAGGAGCAAGCAGGGGGACAAGTGTACCTCTCACCCAGCCCTCTTCATCCTGCGCATCCACTGCAGCCCCTCACATGAGGTTGCAGCTCTTGGCTCGATCCTTATGTATCTCTCCTTCGTTTCCCCGGTCTGGCCGTCCCGACAGCTGAGTGGATCGCTGCAGTCCCCGGCGAGAGTCAGTGCGGCGCAGCTGCCGATGGCCACGGCCGAGGGAGGCCACAGTGGCCACGTGGAAGACGTCCCTGACGCTGCGCTCGGAAGACCGGGAGGAGCATTCGACGTAGGACACGGCCCCCACCTGCTTGGCTAGCACAGTGCCCTGGAAAAGCAGCAGATGGGTGGGAATCATGGGGCTTACTTCAGAAAGCGGGGAGACTGTGGGCCCGGGTTAAAGGTCAGACAGAACTGGGGAAGAAGCAAGGGTTGGGGGTCAGAGGCCGTGACGGCTGACGTCTGGGCTGGAGGTTAGGGGTCCCTCACCTGCTCGTGTGTAACAGGGATAAGTCTCTGCTTGGACAGCTCCCTCAGCGTGGCCAGATCGGTCCGCATGTCCAGTTTACAGCCGACTAGCACCACCTTGGCATTGGGGCAAAACTCCTGAGTCTCTCCTTGCCACTAGTTGGAGGAGGAAAATAAGAGTTATAGAGAGCAAGACCCAGGGAAGAGTTCTGCTCCACGCATGCCGAACTCGCTTATCCTTCTAGACCTCCTAGGTGAGGAATAACATGGGGAGGCTGCTCTTGGGTTGAGAGCGCGGGACAGTGTCGGAGGCGAGGAGAGCTTGAGTGAAGACTCCAGGGTTGTCCTCAGTCAGCCTGGGACCTTCCCATTCTCACTCCCCTTCCCATACTTTGTCCAGAGAACAGGCCAACCACACTCTCCCCTGCCTGGGAACTAAGAAAGCCCTAACTGACTTTTGTGCATTCACCACAGGCTTTTCTTAGGGAAATAATGGCCTGGACAGGAGGCCGTAAGGCTTTCCAAAGCCTCAGGTTTGGCATTCCAACACAACCCTTCCATCCAGGGCTTCCACAGCCAAGGAGATAGGGAAGGCAGATAGGGAAGTCCTTGAACTCGCATCTCCCATTTCCAGCCATTTCCAGCTCCAAGGAAGGATTGACTTGCAGGTGGTACATATAGGGCTGGAGTAGAGGGATGCTAGCTTCATCCACTACCCAGCTGAGGGGCATGTCATTACTCCCTCCTCCCGTTTCACGCTGGGCCCAGTCTCCTCAGTAGTTTCCCCAGAATCCCACCTTCTTAAGGACACTGTCCAGTGTTTCCGGCCGGCTAATGTCAAAGCAGATGAGCACAGCATCAGAATCTGGGTAGGCCAGAGGCCGGACATTGTCATAGTAAGAGGATCCTGAAGAAAGACAGAGAATAAGCTGATAAGGCACCTGAGTGGGTGGTGGCAGGCTGGGAAGGGAATGGGGGACTCAGATCAAGAGATGTTGAAAGCAGGAAATGAAAGAGAGTGCTCTCAACTACCCATCACAGAGTGTGGGTTGAGAATAGGCAGAGGGAGCAGAAAGAGTGAGAAACAGCTCTCTGCTTCCTATGGCTTTCTCTAGTCTAACAGGAATAATTTGTAATTTTTTGGAGTGTGGAAGCCCTTTAAGAATCTCAGAAAATCTACCAATATTCCAACAAATTTTGTGCATGTTTTCTGGGCTTTGATGACACATCTTCTGAAGTCCTCCTGGGAACTGAGTAAAAATAAAAACCCTTCCCATGGGATTGGAGCAGGGACAGGAAAAGAGTGTTCTTGTCCTCTTGGGACTCTAGTTCAGTCTAGAATTTAAAAAAAAAAAAGCTACTTTCCACCACCGAAACCCCTCCCCCCGCCCCGAAATTCTAAATAGCACTCCTAAACTCAGTCCCATTTCCTAAGAAACATGTTCCAAAATTGGTCATTTCTTCCCCCAAGTTCCTTGGGTAAGCAGAACCCAGCTGCAGGGCTCAAATATTAGGCTTTCTACCTCAGAACATGGTTTCTGTTGGGGAAACTCTGCCTCGGTTACCCTGGCTCAAAACAGAAATTGATGTTCCATTCTAAATCAGATGGCTGTCGGGGCTAACCCGGGATCTAAGCCCAGGGAGAGGCTAGGGTAAGGGGCCTTGGCAGTCAGGGTGACCCCGAGGGACTTGGCTACCTGAAGTATCCCACATGTTGAGCTCAATGCGGCGCTTGTCGATCTCGAAGCTTGCGGTGTAGTTCTCAAACACGGTGGGGACATAACTCTGCGGGTACGGGTTAGTCAAAAAAAAAAACGAGAGCTTCTCTCACCCTGACAACTGCCCTCCTGCCTCGACATCCGACCCAGCTCAGTCCCTAGACAGAAGTTGGTCTGAGGCTGGGCTAAGGGAAGCTCCGAGGAGCTACTGCCTCCACCTCCGCGGAATCCTAGCTAGACTCTCAGACCCCCCTCAGGGTCCTTTTAGCCCCTAGTTCTTTCCCTCTCGGCTGCCCAGGACCTCCGACATTCACCCAGGGCGCGCTCCCGGATCCTCCGATGCTCCCGAAGCCCCATCCGTTTCACCGCGTTCCCTGATCCCTTCCACTCCAATCCTCTGCAGTCCTTTCGGAGCCCCCAACGCCTCCTTCCCCTCCTCGGAGCCTCTTTCTCTCGTCCCTGGTTACCCTGGTGCCGGTCTCCAGCGGCCCCCCGGGGCCCCTGCTACCCACTCCCGCAGCCTCGGCGCCCCTCTCTCCAGACGCCAGTTCCTCACCCCGGGGTAGGCGTCCTTGGCGAACACCTGCAGCAGCGCCGTCTTGCCGCACTCCGCGTCCCCCACCACTACGATCTTGCAGCGGCCGCTCTGCCCCTCCATCGTCCCGGCTACGCGCCGGCCCACCACGCCGCCCCCCTCCCGGGCCCCGCCGCCGCCGCCTCTACCGCCTCCTCCCCCGCCGCTGCAGCTGCAGCCTCTCGGGCCGCCGACACCGGCATCTCGCGGGCCCGCGCCGAGCCCCCGCCCGGGGCTGCGGGCCCCCTCCGCCCCGCCCCTAGCCCGCCGGCCGCGCCCCCGGCCCCGCCTCCCGCCCGCGCCGCCGAGGGGCGGGGCCCGGGATGGGCGGAGCCTGGGAGCTGGGATGGGGGGCGGGGCGCGCTAAGGGCGAAGTTCTGGGGGGGGATCGGCTGCGGCGCGACACACACAGGCGCTAGGCTTGGGCCTCCTGGGAGCCCACGCGTGCACGCAGGTGTGCCAGTGCGGCGGACACGCGCGGCAGTAGCCATCTACTTCCCCAACACGGGGGTCGGGAGGCCGTGAGGTCCCCTTCCTCCACTCTCGGGTCCAGGCAGAGCTTGGGGAGATGGGAGTCCAGACCCTAGTACCCGACATTGGTGACATCATAGCTCTCCGTCTCCACACCGACGGGTGGCCGGATCTAGGCTTGTGGCACCTAACTGTGGGCCTGGACCATCCTAGAAAGCGTGGACTGAGTTCCTCTTAGCCAAGTACTGAGTGGAAAGTTTTAGGGGAGCGTTTGCGTCCTCTGGTGGACATTTTGATAGAAAGGGAAAGGGAAGAGAAAGGAAGCTAGAACCGAGCGACACACAGCTCAGCGGGGGCCAGAGCTACTCCCCAGAAGCCAATTTCAGCCTCATTTCACACCAGTAATAACCAGATCGCTATTTGCACGGCATCTTTCACTTTTTAAAAGCAAAGCGCTTCCTCAGCTGGGAGTGGTGCCGCATGCTTTTAATCTCAGCACACGGTAGGCAGAGGCAGGCAGATCTCTGAGTCTGAGGCCAGCCTGGTTTAAACCTAGCGAATTCCAGGACTACACAGAGAAACGCTGTCTCAAAACAAACAAACAAACAAACAAACAAAATTAAAGCTATTCTTTAAGCAAAGGGTGCTCGTTTTAATTTTATCTCATTTTGCATAACCCTATAAAGATAACTGGAACACATAATATCACTATTTTACAGAAGGGAAACACAAGGCTGAGCGACTAAAACTGTTAAGTTTACGCTGGAGGTGTAGCTCGGGGGTAGAGCTACACTCATGAGTACTTGGTTTCTATCCTCAGTTTCAACAAAAGGAAAAGAAAGGGAGAAGGAAATGGAAGAGCGGTAGCGCCTGTCTTTAACCACAGCACTCAGGAGGCAGAGACAGGCGGATCTCTCCGAGTTCAAGGCCAGCCTTTGTGTGCATGGCAGGTTCCAGGCCAGACAGGGCTACAATAATCTCGAGATCCTGTCTTAGAGGTTCGGCTCACACGCTCATAGTTCGCCACGGCGAGACCACAGTGAACAGAGTCTGGTTACTACCAATGGGTTGAGTTAGAACCTGAGGCACAGTTTCACCGGGTTCTGATCCGCAGGTGCCTAGCTCCCAAAAGTGATATAATGAACTCAGATTGGGGGAGGGGGGAGGATTATCCTTCCGACTGCTCCAGAACAGCTTTCAATTCGTGTAAGGCTTGTGATGAATGAATCAAGTCTCAGCCTCTGAACGCCCCAGCCTCTCCCCAGGCTTCTCAGTCACACCCACCCCTCCCTCGCCACCCTCCACCCGCACCACCAGGCTTGCCGCGCTCTCGAAGTCGGTCAGCAGAGGGCCTAGGCCTTTAAGCCCGCGCGCGAGGCTCCGCCCCCGGGCAGAGCCCCGCCCCACCCACTAGTGTCCGCAGCCTGCGCTCTTCCTGACGCGTGTCCCGCCCTCCCCAGCTGTGCACCGTCTCTGGACAGCTGGGAGCGCACGTCGGGAGTCTAGCCATGTCCGCGGAGAGGGAGGCGACCGAGGCGGCCACTGTGGCGGCGGCGGAGGCCGGGACGGAGACCCGCACCGGGGCCGGGGAGGATGCGCCCTCGCAGCCCCCGACAGCCGAGGCGGCGGGAGACCCGCAGCCGCCCCCGGCTCCCGAAGCGTCGGCCTCCGCCTCGGCGCCGCCGCTCCGCTGCCTGGTACTCACCGGCTTCGGTGGCTACGACAAGGTGAAGCTGCAGAGCCGGCCGGCCGCGCCCCCGGCCCCGGGTCCCGGTCAGCTGACGCTGCGCGTGCGAGCCTGCGGGCTCAACTTCGCCGACCTCATGGCCCGCCAGGGTCTGTACGACCGCCTGCCGTCGCTGCCGGTCACCCCGGGCATGGAGGGTGCGGGCGTAGTGGTGGCCGTGGGCGAGGGTGTCGGCGACCGCAAGGTGAGCGGCAACCGGGCAGGAGTGGGCGCGCGCCGGGGGTGTGGCCGGGCCGGGGAGCCAGCGCGGACGCGGGTGGACTGGATACGGAACGCATGGGAAAGCAATTCATGTCTTGAGGTTCCGGGGAAAAGGCTTTCCCAGGAACCGGCCACAGTGTTCTTGCCCCTTCCCCAACCATTTTTCAGTAGTGGCCACCGCCCCAAGCCGAGTTGGGGGTGGGTGGGAGGGAAAACAATGAGGCGCGCCCAGGCGCATGCGCAGGAGGACCTGCTCGCCCCCCTCCCCTGGCAAAACCACACCTGTACCCCTGCCCACTAAACACTCCCAGCGGCAGTTGTGGTCTGTGACCGTGAGTGGTGGCTAGCTCCCGCTTTCCCTCCCGGGGGAGCTTGGAGAAGCGGTGTAGACGGGTTAGGCGGGGGCGCAGGGGCAGTGCCAGGGCGCTAGTCACATGCAGCCCCGTGGTGTATGGGGGTGTAGGACGGCCCCTCCCTGAGCTGGGCCAGAGGGGACACACCCATCATGGAGCAGAGGGCGCCTCGCTTCCCCCACCGCCACGGGCCCTAACGCTACTACTCCGGTTTTTGGTTTTGTTTTTTGATTTTTGTTTTTTTGGCGAGGGGGAGGCGGGATCGGGCTCCCATCTTTGTGTTGGGCTCTCTCCATCGCATCTCCAGTGACTCAGCGGGCAGGCCACGACCCGGGGCTACCCTTGGGAACTTCCGGCCCAAACCGCCCCGCCTACGTGTCCGAGGACCCCAGTCTCTGAAACCCCGGGCGGGCGGGTGGAGTCCATTTGGACTACGGTAGGGAGGTGTGGCACCTTGAGCAGGTTGGCCCAGCTTTGCCGGTCTGTTTCTCATCTATCGTTAATCGCAGCCATAACCTTGGCCACAAGAGGCTCACCGATGACCAGCTTTTTTTGAGAGATCTGGGGTGAGGCCTCTTCATATCATGCGTTGAGGAGTTTCGTTTCAAAATCCAGCACCTTCAGGAGAGACCGCTCCAAAGCAGTCTGAGCCTAGTCTTTGCTAACCTGCTAGGTTGGCTGCATTTGTTGAACATGCAAACAGCTCCGGCTCCTCCCCAAAATCCCTCTCCATGAATCCAGCAGTGATTCACTACACCCTTGCCGTGATTTAGAAATAATCCTACTCTTGGATAGTGCTAAGAAAAAAATTTTTTTTTTGGTTGGGGGGAAGGGGAAGTTAATAGTTCGTGTTACCGCTGAAGGCCACCCATCTATCCACTCCTCCCCACGCTTTCCGCCTGGTAAATACAGGATTTCCTGCCTAGGGCAAGAATCTGCTGTTAAGAGCCTGGGTTCTGTGGGGAGGGCTATCCCAACCTTTCTGGTGGCTGTGTTGGGAGGGACGGGGTTCGTGGCCCTGAGCTGGAAGGGCTAAAGGTTAGCTATGAGCTCGATTAGGTGACACTTGTCCTAGACTCCATCCAGAGACTGGCCATCAGTCCTTCTGGCTGTCGCTCTGTTGTTAGCTCTCCTGTGTTGCTGCCCTGTCTACCAGACTTGAGTTTTGGGGCTTCCTTCCCCAGGCCAGCTCTCCCAGCAAAGGTGTGCTCTTGAGTGGAGTGTGAGGACTTGATGACACGAAAAAGAGCCTGTGTAGGGGGTCTCATGCTCCTGCCCTGTGGATCTTCAATTTCCAGTCAGGAGCTGAGCCGGGCCCTGATTGTCTAGGACAGAGCCTACACTTGTCTCTGCCAGGAGGATTCCTTGCTGACTCCCCCTCCTCCTCCTGCCTCGTTGCTAGGCTGGAGGGATTTTTCTGTCTTTGTCCCCTTTCCTCCTGCAGAGAAAGACCCTCATGCAAGTGACTAAGGACGAAGGGCAACGCCTTTTCCTTGTGGCTGGAATGTGTTGTTCTCAAGCATCAGCCTGTGTACCATGTCTGGGTACATGTTTTTTTCTAGGGCTGCCAGTGTTCGATGAAATACAACTGCCCCCTGGGGTGGTCACACTCAGCCATTTACCACTCACGTACACTTACCTGCACAGTCCTTGCTAGTCTTCAGTTATCAGATGACTTCCCCTTCTTGCTGTTATTTTTGTCATTATTATTAGCTAACATCGCTAAGTATTAACTCTATGATAGAATTGCACCAAGTGCCAACGAATGTTGTCCTTTCCCACTTAGCTCTTACATTTCCCCTTACGCAGCTGAGAAAAATGCTTAATTTTTATTTGCTCCAAGGCCACAGTGTCGCTAAAATGGTGGAGCCCACTTCGTAATCAGAGCAGTTTGATCTCTTTAACGATAGTGCGCTTGGCTTGCCCTAACTGTTTCTTGCGTTCAGGGCTCTTACGCAGTAATGATCTGTTAGATGGAGATAAGGACAGCCCAGCGTTGATGTAAGGACTGATTGAGTGCTTCGATATGCAGCACTAGGTTAAACACTCTGTAAGTGATGCTGCTGCTGTTGCTACTCCGAGCACCGCTGCTGAGCCAACTGCTTCCTCTCCAGGGATCTGGGACATGGTGAAGGCCAGCATGGCACCTGTGGGTGAACAAATGAGTAATCAAATGATATTCTTCCATTGTTTTAAGGCAGGGGACCGAGTGATGGTGTTGAACCGGTCTGGGATGTGGCAGGAGGAAGTAACTGTACCATCAGCCCAGACTTTCCTGATGCCTGAGGCCATGACCTTTGAGGAAGCTGCTGCCTTGCTGGTCAATTATATCACCGCCTACATGGTTCTCTTTGACTTCGGCAACCTGAGACCGGGCCACAGCGTCCTGGTACACATGGCCGCAGGTGACAGGTCCCTTCCCTTTTTCACCGGATCCTGATTTGCCTTCCAGGCCCCTTTCTGTAGCCTGGCTGCTTTGTTGTCATGGCAACATCAGGCTGCCTGGCCTGTGGATCCCAGAGGCTCCTGCAGTCTAGTTGCCGTGGTAACATTTAGACACCAGGTCCAGCCTGCCCTTCTAAGCAGCTTGCCCTCGCCCTGCACCCCACACCATCTCCTGTCCAGTCTCCCTCCCCCTTGTTCTCGAATTACGGAATTCGAACGTTTGGCCCTAAGAAACGAGCTGAGGCAGCTTGAAAGTGATGGGCCAGCTGAACCAGGTCTTGGGGAGGCTGGAGTGCAGAACAGCGGCCAAGGGACTCTGTGCCCCCTTCTTGCGGCAGGTGGTGTGGGCATGGCAGCCCTGCAGCTGTGCCGCACCGTGGAGAACGTGACAGTGTTTGGGACAGCCTCGGCCAGCAAGCATGAGGTGCTGAAGGAGAATGGGGTCACGCACCCCATCGACTACCACACGTCCGACTACGTGGACGAGATCAAGAAGATCTCCCCCAAAGGTGGGGGCGGGGCCTGGCTGGCGGTGGGGAGGATGGCACAGGCTGGGAGACGGGAGGGGGAGTGGGGGGGTGTCTCCAGATCTGCGGATAGTAATGTTTTTCCCCCCACTGGGTCTTACTCTGTGACAGGAGTAGATATTGTCATGGACCCTCTGGGTGGGTCAGACACCGCCAAGGGCTACCACCTCCTCAAACCCATGGGCAAAGTTGTCACTTACGGTGAGTTGGTGGTTATATCAAAGTCGGAGAGGTTTCGTGGGGCAGGAGGGTGGGACTAACTAATAATAGTTAATAGTCAGTGGGTAGAAAATCCCCATTAATAGGGTGGGATACCAGGGCCTGAGCATTTGGGTAAGGAAGGAGGGTCTGGAGCGCTATGTTAAGGTCAGGCTTCAGAAGGGTCCTGGATATTTGAATGAGGTTGGTTGCCGCCTTCGGGCGCCAGCCATTCATTCTCCTTCCCGGCATTTCACAGGAGACGTCGAAATTCCGCCTCCCCATTTGGGGATTATTTCTGATGCGAAACCAACCAGTCTGCCTTCTTCCCGAAGCACCACCTGGGCTTTTCTCGGGCAAGCTGGATAGTTATTTAAAAACCTACTTTACGCACACAAAAAGAGTAAATATAAAAATGAGAGCAGTTTTGGGAGAGAGCACGTGTGCTCTTCCTCTGCTAAGGGCTCCTGGTTCTTTTTTCTCCAGCCTTCCTGTCCTGAATGCTGAAATGATAGGAATGTGGTGCCATTTTGTTTTGTTTTTTGTTTGAGACAGGATCTCACTAAGTAGCTCTAGCTAGCCCAGAGACCTTCCTGCCTCTCTCTCCCGAGTACTGGAATTGAAATTCTGTGTTAAGACTACATCCAGATCTCCAATTCCATTTTTTTTTTTATTTCATTCTTTTTTTTTTTTTTCCTTCCTTACCTCAAAAAAGAACTAGAGAGCTGGATGTAATGGTAACACAATTTCAGCTCCAGCGCTTGAGGTACGTGGAGCACGTGTGGAATTCAGGGGACAGCTGGCAGGTATCAGCTCTCTTCTTCCATCATATGGGTCCCAAGGCATCTTTGGTGGCCAAGATGGGTGTGTGTGTGTGTGTAGACAAAGAGCTAGTTTAGGCCTGGTAACCAGAACTTCCAGGATTGTCCTTGCGTTGAGTGTTACAAGATCAAGAAGCTGGATAGGCCTGAATTCGGACACACAGGGATGTATTTGGCCATGTCACTCTGTCCCTTAGGAATGGCCAACATGCTGACGGGCCCCAAGCGGAACCTGATGGCCATGGCCCGCACGTGGTGGAATCAGTTCAGCGTGACAGCTCTGCAGCTGCTGCAGGCCAACCGAGCTGTGTGTGGCTTCCACCTGGGCTACCTGGAGGGTGAAGTGGAAATGATCAGTAGGGTGGTTACCCACCTCGTGGCTCTGTACAACCAGGGCTGCATCAAACCCCGAATTGACTCGGTCTGGCCCTTCGAGAAGGTGAGTATGGCGACTGCAGGAAAGGTCTGGGTAGGACTGGGGAAAGTCCAGGGGCTCAGGAGAGGATCCTGGGTGTCTTCTTTGGGCTGGCGGTATGAGGGGGGCAGGTGGCATCAGTAGTGGTCTTCTCTTCCTCGCCAGGTGGCTGATGCCATGAAGCAGATGCAGGAGAAGAAAAACGTGGGGAAAGTCCTCCTGGTTCCTGGACCCGAGAAGGAGACCTAGGGCCAGGGCCTGAGGGCCCTTGAGAGCCAGGAAGGGAGACGGGAAGCCTTGTTGTGTTGCCTGTGGGCCTTTCACATTTCATCCTCTGTCATCCACGATGCTCTACCCTTCCCTCCCCCAAAAGGTCTCTGCTGATGACTGCTTCCCTGCTCTGAGCTCACTCTTTGCTCAGGGCCTTCCCCCCCCCCCCCTCCTGCCCTCAGGAGAGTTTGGGAAGTGACCACTTGGATGTCTGGGCCCTGCCAAGGGGACAGAAAGGGTCATTGGGAGGCTGCTTCCTGCCCCCCACCCTGTCCCTGGGCCTGCCATGCTGCTTTTGTGCCAAGGTTAGCCAGTCCCTCCCTGTTCTGTCCTGTGTGCTTTCACCCCTGCCTCATCTTCCCTCCTGCCCCACCACCTCCCCAAAGAATCTAAGTGTCAGCTCAGGATGTGGGGCTAATCTGTGTGAGTGAGTCCAGCATGTACCTGTGTCTCCGTAGCGTCCATGCAACCCAGGCCAGCGAGTGCCCACCCCTGGACTTGCTCAGTACCCAGCCTTGTCTCCCGCCCCCAGTTTCTTAAGCACAATTGGACTTCTCCCACCTCCAGTTTGCTGCCTTTAACCGAGGCTGCCTCCTATAGCAAGGGCAGGAATCGGACTGACTCCCTAGCTCACCGCTCTGGGAGGGGCACCTGAGTACCCCTGCCTTTCACTGAGGTCTCTGGATTTGTCTCAGTGCCTTAGCATTGGAAAACCTGTGCTTGTGTATGTGTGTGTGCAGGGAGCGGCCCTGTCTCTGGCTCCTTCTCCACCCTTCTCCCCAGTGCCTTCCTTGTCCTGGTGGAGCTGAGGCCTACTCCTCCCCAGTTCTACAACACTGCCAAAAATCTGTGTATGTGCCAGGGGGGAAAAGAGGACGGCTCCAGACTCTGGGGATCAGTTGCTTTTACTGTGGTCTGCACTCTGTCCTGTCTGTCGGTGGTGGAGGAGAGGCAGGAAGCTGGACCAGCCAGAGTTCTGGGAGACACCGCTGGGTCTTAATTCTGGGACCAAAGTGAGAATCCAAGCACATTCCCTTTGCTATCAAGGGAAGCAGCTTTGCTGCTCAGCCCCAAACTTTGTTTACACTGGTGGGGGAGGAGGAGCTTGGGCAGCGGAGTTACTGGGCTGGTTAAAATGACCTAGGACCTGGGCTACTGGAGCCAAAATGGGGACCTTAGAGGCTAAGTGGGGTTCACCCCTCTGCTTCTGAGCTTAAATTAGGGAGAGCTATTACTCCAGCCATTGTCAGGGGGAGTTGGCGGGGGAGGGGCCCAGCATCTCTGTTGTCCACATGAGGCCTCCATGGAGGAAGCATGATCTCTACTTCTGTGTCCCCCCACCCCATTACCACAGCTGCCTTTGTGTTGTGTCAATAAAAAGCCAGACCCTGAGTCCTGACCAGATGTTGCATCTAAGAACTGCAGGAAAGCCGGGTGGGTGGTGGTGGCACACATAATCTTTAATATTGGCAGTTGGAGGCAGAGACGGGGATCTCGAGTCGGAGGTCAGCCTGGTAGTCTACAGAGGGAATGCCTCGGCTACACGAGAAACCAAGCCAGTGGAAGGCCAATGTCAAGGTCTGGATTCTGCCCTCTCTCACATGTCTATAGTCCCCGTCTTGAAATAAGAACATCACAGCTGGTTGGCACTTTTCACTGTTGTGGGTTATTGGAACAGTGATTAGATCACATACGGCATTAGGCAGTTATGTGATCCCAGCCCCCAGCATGCGGACATGCAGACCTAGCCTGACTCGGAAGTGAAGACAACCAGGACCTGCTCCCCTGGGGGCACAACTTCCAGGGCCTCCACCTCCCCACCCCCACGAGTGGGCTTCTGGAAGTGGATCTCCAGGATGTCGTGCAGCTCCTGAGCATCCAGGACGTCGGGAATATTTGTCACCAGCACTGAGTGAGATGCCTGCTGGAATCTGACCTAGAAAAAGAGACAAAATGGCAAGGGTTCACGGGATACAGGGCAGCAGGGAAGCAGAGGTTGGGGCAAGGAGTATCCCATGAAAACATGGGATGGGTCTGAAAGCCCAGAAAGGCTGCTGTGGAGGCCAGCGAGGTTTGGGGCCCCTGAGCCTTCCTTCCCCGCCCCCACCCAGCACTTACCTCAGCTTTCTGGATCTCCCCACTCACATAGGGAGAGACTCTCAGAGGGACCTGCTGCTGGCCCAGAGGTACTGTGAACTGGCCGATCCGGCATAAGCGCTGGGCCACTGTGAGAAACGGAAGGGTGGCCTTTGGCATCAAGGCCTCTCTTGGTCTCATGCACTCTGACCCCCTGACAGCCTGCACAGGGCCCTTACCTTCTTCGTCAACAAAACCCAGCATGACGGTCCCTTGCAGCATCTCCCGGGTCTCCACATCCCCACCTCCATTCCTGACCTTGCCAAAGAAGATCTCCAGCTTGTCCAGCAGCTCCTCCTCGCTCAGCTTTAGTCCATCAGGAAAGCCACTGACTAACACCCTGTGGTTATCTGGCTGGCTGGACACCTGGCGGGAGACAGGGCAGAGTAGGCTCAGCTGGCCCCCTCATCCATGGTACCCAAATGCCGAATCCCACCCATTGCCTGGAGCACCCTGCCATTCTGTCACCTGGATGTTGGTTACCAAAGGCAGCTCCAAGGGCTGGACTTGCACCCGCAGCCGGCAGTCCTCTATGTCAATTCTATGTTCCTCTTGTTGCAGCAGCCGTTCAACCACTGGGGGTTGGGGGACAGGGTCAGCACTGGGAAACCTTATGACCCCCACCCCATAAGCCTCCACCAGATGCTGCCCCCCACCCCACAAGACTAACCTTTGGGGTCATCAAAGGTGACCAGAGCAGACCCTCCAGGCAGAGGGCAGCAGACCTTCAAGTTAGAAACTATGGACTTAGGCACTTGCTTACGCCCCTGAGTGACGCCTTGGAATACCAGGGGGACTTCGGGTACTGGGAATGGGATCTGGAGGTTGGGAGAGGAAGGCAATAAACAACCTTCAAGAGTAAGAGAGTGGAGCTGGAGAGAAGGCTCAGCGGTTAAGAGCATTGGCTGTTCTTCTAGAGGTTCTGAGTTCAATTCCCAGGAACCATATGGTGGCTCCCAACCATCTATAATAGGATTCAACACTCTCTTCTGGCATGCAGGCTCTGTATGCAGAGAGAGCACTCATATACATAAAATAAGTAAATAAATAAATCTTAAGAAAAAAAAGTGAGAGAGGTCCCCACCCCTCTTTTCTGGACAGAATGTGTCCCTCAATTCTGTTTGATTGATGCTCAGTGCAGAATGCCTTCACTGAAGAGCTGGATGGTTGGGTAAAGGCAGGTCACACCAGCCACTTGTCAATCATACAAGCTCTTGGTTTGCCCTCACACAAGCCTGAGAAGCATGTAGCTTCACCTCATGGATGAGAAAAACAGAGATTCAGAGAGTTCAAGAAATGTACTTGAGGTCACCTTGCAAGGAACTAAAATGTGGCAATGTATATGCATGAGCAGATGTGTGTTCAGTGCCTGTGGGGGCCAGAAGAGGGCGCTGTCTCTCCTGCAACTGGAGTTACAGGCAGTTCTGAGCTGCCCCATGTAGGGCCAAAGAACCTCTGAACCTGTGACCTCTTCAAGAGCAGCAAAGTGCTTATCATCTCTCCAGCCCTTTTCTACAGGACTACCTCATTTCCCACCTGACCTTGTCTCTGGAACAGCATGTGCGTTCCCTTTTCAGCTGTTGCAGCTCCTGCAGCCTCGCCCTGAGCCTGCATTGCTCCTCCTGAAGACTGTAGAGGACCTGTTGGAGAAGAAGGGATTAAGAAGGAAGCCACCAGCCTTTCTAGAGAACAAGTGAGCCGGGCAGGCACTCTCTGGACTCTATAAAAACAGAGATGATACTCAAACCTCTCAACACCCCCAACCTCTTTTCCCTGCCCTGCCCTGGTCCCAACCCAGTCCACCTAGGGATCCTACAGCAGCTACAACTCATTCACAAGCTAAGTCCAAAGTTTAACAAATGCAAACCAAGTTCCCTCTACAAGGCTAGAAGGCCTTGTATCCTGATATGGGAAGAGTCCTGCTGGCCCTCAGGCCTGTACCAAACTCATGCAAACTGTGTGGCTGACTGTGGAGAGAAGCAGGAGTTTAGAAGAAAGATAATCCTGAGGCAAAGAGATGAAAGCAAAAATAAAAATAGGTGGGCGGCAGTGGCGCACGCTTGTAATCCCAGCACTCTGGGAGACAGAGGCTGCCGGGTCTCTGTGAGTTCAAGGCTAGCCTGGTCTATAAAGTGAGTCCAGGACAGCCAAAGCTACTCAGAGAAACCAAGAGAGAGAGAGTGAGAGAGAGAGAGAGGAAAGCAACTGAATCTAGGAGCCAGAGCTTAACATACCACTGTTTGCAATTTTTTTTCTGTTTCTGGGGATTGAACCTCTGCCCTTGGGCATTCAAGGTACACAGTGTCACTGAGCTACACCCCAGCCTATCTGTTAATATTCACAGAGCTAGATGTGTTTGCTTTCTTTCTACATTTGTGTGAGTGTGCATGTGTGGAACCCGGAGGACAACTGTGGAGTCTGTTTCTCTCCTCTCTCCCTGTGCATTCTAAGAATTACACTCAGGTGCCAGGCTTGCTCAGCAAGCACCTTTACCCTTTCTTTCTTCTTTCTTTACCCACCCCCTCTTCTCCCTCCTTCTTCTATTGATAAGATCGCCAGTGGCAGGCTGGGCTTGGTAGTACATGCCTTTAGTCCTATTGGTAGTACATGCATTTAGTCCTAGCACTAGGGAGGTAGAGGCAGGTGGATCTCTGTATTTGAACCCAGCCTTGTCTAATAGAGAGAATTCCAGAACAGCCAGGGATACACAGAGAAACCTGTGTCAAAAACAAACAAACAAACAAACAAACAAACAACTCAAGTAGCCCAGGCTGGCCTCATACTCCTTATGAAGCCATGGGTGACCTCCTCCTGAGAGCTGGAATTACAGGCACCTACCACCAAACCTAATCTACGCAGTGGCAGGGATTGAGCTCCATGTAGCTCAGGCTGGCCTCAAACTCAAAGCAGTCCTACTTCAGCCTCCAGTATTTAGGGATTACAGGCATGAGCTACCCTACCCGTAAACAAAACCTTTCAAAAGGCCTCTACCACTCAATTCTTGTCACAGCACTATGGAGCCCAGCTGGAAAAGGTTAAAGGATTTGTCAGAAGTCTTTTGACCAGGCAGACTGATTCCAGAAGGCCCTGGCATCCAGGACTTCCCGGTGAAGAAATTAGGTCCGGAGTGGAGAAGTAATTTGCACATCTCCTAGCCTGTCCTCTTTCCACACAGCAAGCGGCCTTCAGGCTGGTGTGATTTGGAGGCAGTCCAAACAGAACACCAACAGAACAGACAGGGAAGAGGGCACGAGGAATACCAATGAATGCACCTTTGTTTGTGGGAGAGCGCAGACATTGGCTGGCAAGCCCCAGGAGGCTGTTAGGTAACCTGGTAAGTAGGACTGGCCCAGAGGAGGGCATCTTTATCTGGAGTGAGCCAACCCTGTTTTGATCTCTTCTGTATCCCTAACGTCTCGTCTAGAAAAGCCTCTGGGACAAAACAGGCACCAGGAACGGCATGGTGAATGAATGAAGTGGGGGGCGGGGCAGGAGCGTGCTACAGGTGGCGCTGAAGACGTTCTGGGTGAGTCTCTTCTACTTCAAGCAGAGAGCTGGAGCGTGACCACATTGCGTCGGCTTAGGAATGGTGAAAAGGGTCCCCGCTTATATCTGTGCATCAGATCTTACAAACTCAAATGGTTTTTGTTGTTGTTTTCTTTTTCTTTGTTTAGTTCTTTTTATTTGTTTGTTTGTTTTTTTTGTTTTTCCCCAAGACAGGGTTTCTCTGTGTGGCCCTGGCTGTAGACCTGGCTGGCCTGGAACTCACAGAGATCTGCCTGCCTCTGCCTACCGAGTGCTGGGATTAAAGGTGTGCCCCACTAGCTGGATCTGGTGTGTCTGGGTCTGTGTGTGTGTGTACAGGCACGCATGTGGCACACAAGTAGAAGTCTGAGAACAAGCCAGATTATCAGTCCTCCCTTTGCACCCTGTTTGAGACAGGGTCTCTCAGATGTCACCACTGCATGGACCTGGCTAGCCCTGGGTTTCTGGGGACTTTCTTGTCTCTGGCTACCATCTTGACATCTATGCACTGGGGTTACAGATGCAAGATACTATGTCCAGCTTTACTTGGGTTCCAGGGATTCGAACTTAGGTCCTCATGCTTGCATAGCAGGCAACCTTGCTTACTGAGCCATATCCCCTACTATATATTATCATTTTTAAAATCTAATCTATTATTGGACATGTACATTTTCATTTATTTTTTTTTTCCTTCCTTTTTTGTCTTTTATTTATTTATTTATTTTTTGGTTTTTGGAGACAGTGTTTCTCTCTCTGGTCTTGGCTGTCATGGACTCTTTTTATAGACCAGGCTGAGCTCGAATCTACAGAGATCTGTTTACCTCAGCCTCCCTGAGTTGGGATTGCGGGCACGTGCCCAGCTCCATTTTTCTTTCTGTTTTGGAGTTCTGAACACAAGGTTTCCAGTTAGCCCAGCTAACCCAAAATTCAAGGCAACCCTCTTGTCTCAGCCTCCAAAGTATCAGAATTACAGGAATACGCCATGCTCTTTTGTCCTACTCTTATAAATGATGCTACAACATTAGTTTTCGCACAAGGGTCTCTGTTCACAACGAGATAAGCCTATTGTGAGTACAGAGTACTGTAAGTCCAAAATGCATTAACTTTTGGATCCTGGCTCCAGGATGACCAAAAACAGGAGAAACAACACTGGGGGCAAAAAGGGCCACAGCCGCCTGCAGCTGATTAGCTGCTCTAACTACACCAAGACCATTAAGCAGTCTGTCATTCAAAACAGAGCAGAGGCCAATGCACCAGGGCCACCTCTGAAGTGAGTGTCTTTGGTGGTCATGTGCTTCCCAAGCCTTACGTGGAGCTGCGTTTCTGCATGAGCTGTTGCATTGCTAAGCAAGGTGGTCAGGGATCAAGTTCCGGAAGCCTGGAAGGACCGAGCGCCTCCACCCGATTTAGCTGTGCCACCAAAGCCCATGTAAAGAGAGCTTGCTTCATAATAAAGGAAGGAAAAAAAAACAACTTCTGAGACTAATAAAATAAGATGGAAATTATGCTTTTAAGAAAAGCATGAAGCCGGGTGGTGGTGGGGCACGGATTTAATTCCAGCAGAGGCAGGTAGAGAGCTTTGTGAGTTCAAGGCTAGCCTGGTCTACAAGAGCAAGTTCCAGAACAGCCAAAGGTACACAGAGAAATCACGCCTGGAAGAAAGAAAGGAGGGAAGGAAGGAAGGAAGGAAGGAAGGAAGGAAGGAAGGAAGGAAAGAAAAAGAAGAAAAAATGCATTGAATAAAACAGGAACAATGGGAGGCTGAAACAGAGAAACAGAAAATTAGGCCGGTTTGGGTTTGCATATCTCAGTGGGCAAACAGGAAGACAGATGACCGAGAGAAACACGAAGGAAAGCACTGTGAACGCCCTTGCCATGGTTTGGCACTATCAGCTGCCATCCTCGTGACTCCTTGCCCTGCGCAGAGATAACATCCTATCAAGTGCAAAAGATCAAAATGCAAATGTGCTGGTGCGCACCTTTAACCCTGACCCGCACTGTGACCCCCTCCCAAGCCGCCCAAGTCTGCACAGTGAGACCCTGCCTTAAACACAGAGCAAGAGAAACCCAGAGTGAAACAAAAGGCTCCCCTGCTGAATGTGTGACACTTAAACGCTAGTGTGCAGCTGGGCCGTTGCGGGTTGAGGGCTTAAATTTTTGCTCATTATCTTTATGACAGGTATAACTGTTTTTAATTGCATAATCCAAATGCTGACCAAGTTGCTAAACTCCTGTGATCACACTCTCGCGCCACCTTGTGCTGGGGATAGAAGCAGGGACTTGTAAATGTTAGGAACATGCTCTATCCCGGAGATTTTGTGATACTTGAATGACAGATTCCCCACCGTGCCTGATATATACTAGATCCTCATGAGCCACTGATCCGCTTCCCCCTGTCTGCTGGGTAAGTGGCATTCCACTAAACCGGCTCCGGGTGGGAGGGGAAGTGGTGAGATGGCTCAGTGATAAAAGCACCACACACACACACACACACACACACACACAAAGACTGATGACTTGAATTTGACCCCAGATCCCATGGTGGGAAGAGAGGACTTCCTGAAAGTTGTCCTGTGACTCACATGCTCACCTTGGCAAGTGAGCTTGCTCTCTCTCTCTCTCTCTCTCTCACACACACACACACACACACACACACACACACACACACACAGTAACCACAGCAATAAAGATTATGTAGTGATTAAAAGGCACATTACTAGCAGGGCTGGAGAGATGGCCAGCAGGTAAGAGTATTTGCTGTTCTTTCCGAGAACTCAGATTTGGTTCTTAGCGCCCGTGTGGTGATTCACAACCACCTAATGTAACTCCAAACTCAAGTAATCCAATACCCTCTTCTCTTCTCCACAGGCATGGGGCGTACATGCAGACAAGACACCCATATAGAGATAAAAAATAAAAATAATTCTTTCAAAAAAGATAAATTAGTTTAAAACTATTTATTTATTTGTGTGTGTTTTTCGACAGCGTTTCCTTGTGTAGCCCTGGCTGTCCTGGAACTCATTCTATAAACCAGGCTGGCCAAGAACACAGAGATGTGCCTGCCTCTGCCTCCTGAGTGCTGGGATTTGAAGGTGTGTGCCACCACAACAGGGCTCTAAAACAATTTAAAAAAAAAAATAATGGGAGGCTGGGCATTGTGGTGTATGATCTTAATCCCAGTGCTTGGGAGGCAGAAGAAGGTGGATCTCTGTGAGTTCGAAGCCAGTCTGCTCTACAGGAGTCCAGGACAGCCAGGGCTGTTACACAGAGCAACCCTATCTTGAAAAACAAAGCAAAACAATGGGCTGTAGGGGTGGCTTGGAAGTTAAAAGCACTTGCTGTTCTTGCAGAATGTTGAGGTTCAAACCTAGGACAAGCAGCTGAGGTGCCCATTTGACCTGGCCCCAGGTTCTCCCAGCATTCCTCAGTCCTGTTACAGGACAGGGCTAACAACCCCAGTCCTCTGCCCTGAACTTTCCAGCCTGGCGGTGTGGGGGATAGGACATCCACCTCCCCCGGAAGCTCTTCCCCATATAATCCAGAAAGTTTGGTTCCTCTCACCCTCTCCCTTTGTATGGCAACTTCCCTGGCCCCTTTCTACCCACCTGAGAGATGCACCCAACAAGCCTGCATTTAATTTGGCTTGAATTGGCTCATTTCATTGGCGGAAATATCTTATCACAGATGTCCTAAGCTAAGTTCCCAGGAATTTTTTTTTTTTTAGTCTTTTTTTTTTTTTTAAGATTTATTTATTATATATACAGTGTTCAGCCTGCATATAAGCTTGAACACCAGAAGAGGGTGCCAGATCTCATTATAAATGGTGAGCCACCATGTAGTTGCTGGGAATTGAACTCAGGACCCTTGGAAGAGCAGCCAGTGCTCTTAACCTCTGAGCCATCTCTCCAGCACCCCAGGAGTGTTGGTGTGTGTGGGTGTTTTGCCTGCATGTCTGTGTACGCACCAGGTGCATGCAGTACAGGAGGAGGCCAGAAGAGTGCCAGATGCCCTAGAACTAGCTGCAGAAGGTTGCTGACCTCCATGTGAGTGCTTGGGAGCCGAACTGGCCCTCTGGAAGAACAGTCAATGCTCTTAGCGTTAGCATCAAGCCATCTAGCCAGCATGGTTCCTGGAATTGAAAAAACTTACCCGTGCATTTTTAAAGCATTTCCATTGATGGGTATCTTGCCTGCATGCATGTCAGTGCACCGCGAGCATGCTTGGCGCTGGAGAGGCCAGAGAGGGCGATGGACGCCCTGGAACTAGAGTTACGGATGGTTGTAAACCAACATGCTGGTGGTGGGAGCTGAAGCCAGGTTCTCTGCGAGAGCTGAGCCATCTCCCCAGGCCCCTACTTTACTTTTAAAGGCAGGTCTCACTCTGTCCTGGAGCTGTGCAGTAGGGCAGGGGGGCAGGGCCGTGCCCATCTCTTCCTGCCCACTGCTGGGATTACCGGCACATGCCACTGCACTTTTTTTTTTTTTTAACCTGGGTTCTTGAGGACTGAGTTCCTTCCTATGCTCTCAAGGTAAGCGGTTTACAGACTGAGCTACCTTCCTATGGGACAGGGAGAGCCTGCGGGTATCCTTGTGAAGAAGTGTAATATCCCTACACAGGAAGTGGGGAAATGGACACTAGACTGTAAATATCAGAAAGGCTAATGTTTGCTCCAGTGCAACATGGTCTGAAGAAACCATGGCAGGTTTCCTCCGGGAGCCTGTGCTTTTTCGTAATATATCAGAGAGACAAACGAGTTTCCCAAGCAAAAGAACTAACAAAGAAAGAGACGGAGAGCTGATGAGGACAAGCTGAGGTGGGTCCTTCCTCAGAGGTGGCTGCCTACGGTAGGGCACTGTGCTTGCTCCTGAGACCTTCAGGGCTGTTGGCTGCTCTGCTTCACAGGTCAGCCGAGCAGATCTGAGTCGGCCTGAGTTTGCATTCACAGAAACCGCCTGTCCCGGAGGACCAATGGTCAGGTTGATGCGGAAATCTGAGAGGGGGCGGTTGGCTAGGAAGTGCTGGGCATTTCTGTTACTCATTAGAGCAGATACAGAACTCTAATGTGAATTAGTAGTTCTCTCTACAAAACCCAAAAGCTATATCCACACGGAATTACCAAGGTGAGAGTCCTAGTCTCTGAGGCAATAAAATGACCAGCCACAGCCCCAGGGGACCCCGGCTCTCTACGTCTCGGCCTAGCGCACTGCTGCTTTGGCACACCGGCAGCACACACTCTCCGGAGTGCTCCCTTACTTACAGCTTGGAGAGTCGCAGACATGGCTTGGCAAAAGCTGAGGCTTCAGAGCAGGGTTCAAAACGGAGGGTCCTGAAAACTAAACTGTTTCTCTTCAGCCTCCTGCTGGTAGGTTTTGCTTCCACTTTCGTTTCCCGCGTTCCGCCTGAGCATGTAGCCCCACCCTTGGGTGGAGCCTTTCAAGTCTTCAACTCCCAATTACCCAGGGCTGGCCCTGAGAGTCTGTGCTCTGGAGAGGGTCAAGGGAATGCTAACCCCAACTAACCTTCCTAGGCAGCCAGTTCTGGCGTAAACCAATAGGTAGTAGCCATCTTGCTTATTGTGTGGGCACCATTGTGGCCAATTTTTGAGTTGTTTTATGTGGGTCCCAGAAACTGATTTGTATCAGGCTCAGCTGCTTTACCCACTAAGACACCTTGCTATCACTTTAAACATTGTGTGGACTTGTGGTATGTGACACAGGTGTTGGATAACTTTAGTGCTAAGAGCAGAGTGAGTTAACTGCTGAGCCACGAATGCTTCCAGGCCCAGGATGTCTCTCTTATAGAGATGGTTGTAAGCTACCAGGCAGTTGCTTGGAATTGAACTGAAGACCTATGGAAGGGCAGTGTTCTTAAATTCTGAGACATCTCTCCACAGGGGGGGCCCCCAATTTTTTTAAGATTTGCATCATCAGCATTTGAGTTGTACAAGGACAACTCTCAACTTAGCACACAGGCCTCAGGTCCCTTTTTTTGAGAGATGGTGTCACCATGTAACAGTGGCTAGGCGCTGCCTGAAGTCTTCTGGCCTTGGTGGCAGCTGTGGCTGGCTGTTTCAAAAGAGGGTCTCACACTTTGACCTGGAGCTTAAGTAGACCAGGCTGGCTCTGCCTCCCAAATGCTGGGGTTTTGAGCACGTGAAAAACCCTTTGGTTGAGACAGGGTTTCTCTGTGTAGCCCTGGCTGTCCTGGAACTTGCTGGGTACACCAGGCTGGCCCTTAAACTCAAGAGATCCTCCGTGCCTTGTGTGCTGGCATTAAAGGCACATACCACCACCACCTGGCTGCCTGTATTTTTAATCTCTGCTTTCTTTTCCTGAAGTGCTGAGGACCTGGCGTCACCAGAATGAGGTTCCTAATGGGAGGCAGCCAGGAGCTTCACCTTTCCCGCTTCTGAGGACAGAATTTAAAAAGGTTCTGTACCTCATTTTAAATGTCAGCAGCAGCTCCTGGGCAAATTCACTTTCCTCAAAGAAGCTGTCAGTCTATCAGGTAGTCACCAACCCAGAGGTTCAAGATTCACAAAAGCACAAGGGCTTCATTTCCCACAGCCCCCCTTCCCCATACACATTTAACAGGCAGACTTTTTTTTTTTTCCATTTTTAATGATAGAAACGAAAATATACCTAAAAGCGAAGCTTCTGGAAAAACCATTTGTTCTTCCCTGTCTTGTATCTAGAAAGGAAAATAAATAAGTAAATAAGTGACACTTGGGAAAACAAAGTGGAACATGAAAAATTCTCTCATGGGAAGCTGTATTCAATAAACACAGGACCCACTTACCGTTCCTCAAATTTGACCTTGGCCTCCCGCCTGGCCTTGCGTTTCAGAGCTGGGTCTCTAAAGACATCCTTGTTGACAACAGTTTTGTCCAAGGGGATGTCCACAGAGTACCTGGGGCAACAACAGTGCAGAGGCAGATTAGCAAGGGACACCAGGAAGCTGAATCTTCAAAGAACCCGGGTGTAGTCAGGAACATAGCAAGGAGCAGCCACTGAAGATATGCTACATTTTCACTCAAGTCCTTGGAGAAATTCTTATTTTGGTATCCATTTATGTGGTCTCAAGCACTAGAAAAATCTTATTTTGTTCTCAAAATTTTGGAACTTCTTTTCAGAGGTGAGATTCATCATGCTAGACCTCACAGCTGGTTTTTCCTAGCTGGGTGTATGACACATCTTTAACTCCAGCAACCCAGAGACTGAGGTGAGATCTCTGGCCAGCTTGAGCACAGCAACCTACTGAGACCCCCTCAAGGGGAAAGTCACTCTCAGCAATCAATCTTAAAACACACAGTATTGGCTCCCAACAGCTATAGTTCAGGACCCGGTCAATTCTGGCAGTTCCTTTATTATCCCTGGACTAAGACAGCTTGTGTTAAAAAGACCCTGTCACTTTTGAGCTGGTTGCACTGTATAGCTGTGGACAGAAAATCCACCTGCCTGAGCTTGTCAAGTGCTGGGATCCTAACCGTGCACTACCACCTCAGATTTTTGGGGGTGCCTATGGAAATGGTTCAGTTGTTAAGAGCACTGGCTGCTTTTCCAGAGAATCTGGGATCAATTCTCAGCACACATGTGACATACATACATCCATATATAAAAATTAAACATCTATTAAGATTGAAAAATAAGCTGCAGTGATGACGCTCCCCTTCCAGCCCTGCACCTGTGAGCCAGGGGTAGGAGGTACATCTGAGTTCCAGGACAGCCATGGGTACACAGACAAGGCAAACCAATCAACCACTATCACCACCACCAAACAAACAAAAACAAACAAACAAAAACCAAACCAAACCCAGCTATACAGCCTTGGCTAGCCTCAAATTTATGCAGGGAAAAAAAAATTCTAATGTTGGGTATCTGTGCACATGAGCGTAGGTGCCCCTGGAGTCCCAGAAGAGGAGGCCTGAACTCCTGGAGCTGGAGCACAGACAGCTTGGAGCCACGAAACATGGAGGGGTTCTGGAAACGAAACTTGGCGTGCTTGGCAAGAATAAGAGCCATCAATAACGAAGCCATCACTCCACCTCAATCTAGGCTCCAGGGATGGGGCCCTGGTCACCAACAGCAGGCACTAACCTGTCCCAAGGCCCAGAGGAACCCACCTCACAGAACAGTGACAGAAGGCAGACCAGACCCTGTCCTTGTGTACAGGGACATAACCCAGCAACCTATACTTAAGGAGGCAGAATGCCCACCTCTGACCCAGAATGCAGAATTCCAGGTTTGAATATAAGTCTTTCCTCAAAAACGTAAAAGATGCAAAGGACCCAGGAGATTAGGAGACAGGAATTCTCCAAGATGGACTAGAGTAAAATCAAGCTTACTCCCACTCTCCCGAAGGTGCTGTGCTAAAACCCAGGGGTCTTGCATCTGCTGGGTAGAGTAGGGCTACACAAGCTTCGTTAGCTTAACATTCTCAAAAGAGAGGGCAGAAGATCCAGAGACAGGAGAGGGAAAAGGGAATAGGAACGATGGCCTTTTTTTGTACCACATCACCCATGAGAGGAAAGGAAAAAAAGCCACACTTCTGTTTTTGGAAGGCTCACCTTGTGGGCATGAGGTGATTGTAGTTATAAACTTTCACAAAGGACTTGATCTTTGATCTCTTGGCGATTTTCTTCTTGCCCATGGCAGCTGTCACTTTTCGGGGATAGCGGTCGATTCCGGCCACCAGGGCATGGCTGTAAGGGCGGTCTGAGGTGCCATCATCAATATTCTGAATAAGAAGGAAAAAAAGCCATGTTATGGCTTGGGCCCTATCTTAGTAAAATAGTATGTTTACCAAACACACCCTGTTTTTATATTTACCAAACACAGCCCCACATCTCTGGACTATTGTACAGGAGAATCACAATCAATCAAAGCTAAAAGCCAACATGGCAGTAACTGTGAATCAAGTGTTTATTCCCATCAGAAGACTTTGCAAAAACTCAAGAGACAGGCGATTTAAAAGTCTTACACCTATCACCTTCCTCCATGTGGCTAATGCATAGAGCTGAGACTCAATTTAAAATAAATGGCAGTTATAGAGGCAGGGGAGGCCAGAACCACAGCGGGTATAAAACTGGATGAGGAGGAAGCAGCAAAATGCTAAAATACAGGCATCGTACGTTGTAAGTGGAAGCAGCTTCTCCCAATTACACAACACACCTGTAATATATGTTCAATACATGGTGGCCGCTATTAAATAAAGCTTATTTGGTGAAGATCACAGTCTGGGTCAGGATCCCAGTTCAACTCACACTTGCTTCAGACCCATCGTGCATATGTTTACCACCCCCTTGGCCCCTGGTATTGCTACGACAGGATCCCGCCCGTCCGACGCTGCAGCCCAGATCCCCGCATGCAAGCAGTCAAAGGCGCCCGGAGAATCTGGTACCTTCACGATGACGGCTTTGCGTCCGGAGTAGCGTCCGGCCAGGACCAGCACCACTTTCCCGGGTTTCATGAACTTGCCCATTTCTGCGGAGAACAAGGACAAGGGGCCGCTGAGAAGTTTGTAAAGCGAAAACGTCCCGGAGCCCGACTTGTACTCGCGAGTCCGGGTGGTAGGCCGGCGATTGGGATCGCTCGCTGCCGACCAGGCCACGCAGCTCGCAGCGCCTGCTCGCGGGACGCGACTCGCCACGAGGCCGGCAGAGGCGCTGAGTCTGAAGGAGCCCAGCAACCCGACCCCGGGGTGGCGATGGCGGCGGATTGCAAGACCCTCTCCAGGCCTCTACTCACCGACAGCAGGCGGCCGGCACCCAGCGGAAAGGAAAGAAGGGCACTTCCGCTAACCTTTCACCCTGCGGAGCGGGGTGGGAGCCCACTTCCGGTCCCGCCTCTCCGGCCTCTCCCCGCCGCTTGGTTGGCGGTCGAAGTTGCTGGCGGAAGAAGCCCGCGAGGCCGGAACGGGCCGCGCGTTTGTAGGAATCAAACTTTATTCAAAGATCCAGCGGCAGACAGGGACAGAGCTCGGTCTCCGGCGGGGCGAGGGAGCGGCGAGGACGACGCGCGAGCCTGCACTCTGCGCCGTCGCCGCTGGGAGGCGGACACAGGCTGAAATTGACTGTTTTGCCTCGGAAGACGAGAGCCAGGTTTCGCGAGTGCGCGCTCAGACCCAACATGCGAGGGTCTGAGAGAGATTTCCAGTTCCTGTCTAACCTGGGTTCCGCACAGAGATCCTGACTCCAACAAGCAAATACAGAGAATAAATGACCTTCTGTACTGTTAGGTGAGAAATAGGGAAGGTCAAGCGATCGTATCTCTAACGGTCAACCCAAAGAGGTCAGGTCTAGCTTTTTTGTTTGCTCGTTCGTTTTTGGGTTTTCTTCAAGACAAGGTTTCTCTGTGTAGCCTTGACCGCCCTGGACTCACTTTGTAGACCAAGCTGTCCTCGAACTCACAGAGATCGCCTAGCCTCTGCCTCCCAAGTTCTGGGATTACAGGTGTGCGCCACCGCTCCAGGCTTCATTTTTGGTTTTTCAAGACAGGGTTTCACTGTGTGTTGCCCTGGCTGTCCTAGACTGGCTTTGTAGATGAGGCAGGCCTCGAAACTCACAGAAGTATGCTTGCCTCTGGCTCCTGAGTGCTGGGATTACAGATGTGTGACACTATGTCCAGCTGGCATGCCTAGATTTTTTTTTTAAATATATATATTTATATAAATATATATATCCTTTTCTCAAAGATTTATTTTTATTTTTTGTGTATAAGTATTTCGCCTTTTGCCCGCTTGTAAGTATGTGCACCAATTGAGTGCCTGGTGTCTGAGGAGGCCAGAAGAAGGTGCTGCATGCCCTGGAACTGGTGTTACAAATGATTGGGAGTCACCACGTGGGTGCTAGTTGAACCTGGGTTCTCTCCAGTCTTCTGCATGAGCCGGAAGTGCTCTAACCACCAGGCAATCTCTCCAGCCCCTATTTATTATTATTTCAGTATTTTTTAATTTATTGTAAAGGCTTTAATTATGTGTATGTTTATCAGCACGTGGGTATGTGAATGGGAGTACGGTGCCTACAGAGGCCACAGGCATTGGATCTCCTAGTGCTGGAGTTACCGGCTGTTGTGAACCATTTCTTGTAGGTACTGGGATTAGAACTCATGTCTTCTGGAAGAGTAGTCAGTGCTCTTCACATCTAAGCCATCTCTCTAACACTAATTTCTTTCGGAGAAAAGACCTTGAAGAGTTTAATTTAGCCTGGGTATGGTTAGCCTGGGTATAACTCCATTTTTTGAAATAAGGAGCCATCTTGACTGGGAGCTGAATTCAGGTACCAGGAAACATCACAGAATGTATACTTGGCAGAGAGCAAAGTTAAATCTTCTAGCAACAGCCTCCAGGAAATATCACTTCATAGAAAATAGAGACAATCTTCCTGGCAATAATCAATGAGAATCGGTTGAGAATCAGGTGGGAAAATTCTCCCCAATGTTTCAGATATAATTAAGAATAGCCGTTGTGGCTCAGAGAGGCATAGGCCTTAGGCAATTGTGCCTCAGAGAAGGTCACCTCGTCCCTCTAACTTTTACCTAATCCTGTAACATCAAGGCATGTGACCTCCTGTTTGCTGTCATGGAAACCCCCTGCTCACAGACTTTTCCTTTAAAAACGCTGCTCACTCAGGGCTCAGGGTCCCACTTCTCTACTGCTGCGTCAGTGAGACTTGGGTCCCGAGTTCGATTGCTCTCATAATGAAGCTCTCTTGCTATTGCATCGAGTCGTCTCCTGATGTTCTCTGAGGGTCCCGTGAACCTGGCATTACAACCTTACTCTTTACTCTGTAGCTAAGACTGGCCTTAAAACTCACATTTATAGTCTAGGCTAGAATCCAACTTTCAGTGAGCCTCCTGTCTCAACCTCATGAGTCCTGGAATTATAGGTGTGAACCATACTTACCTTTCCTTACATTTCCATATCCACTTAAAATTGATATGCGTGTGGTGTATGTGTGTGTATTTGGGGGCTGGAGAGATGTCTCAGTAATTAAGAGCACTGGCTGCTCTTCCAAAGGGCACGGGTTCAAGTCACAGCACCCACATGGCAGCTCACAGCTGTCTATAATTCTAGTTCCAGGGGATCTGATACTGTCACACACATACAAGCAGGCAGAACACCAACATACATAAAAGAAAAAAATTAAATATAAATAATATATTGCTATATATTTAAATATGTGTAGTTTATATATGTATATGTATTTACATATGCATATATATGCACATATATATTTAAACTATATACCCCAAGTTGCATTTGTATTCATAGCAATCCTCCTGCCCCAGCCTCTTCCATCTGTGACTATAGACATGGGCCACCACGCCTGGCTGCAATTAAAATATTTTCTGAAGCAGGAGGAAACCTTCCCAAAGGTGATGAACAGACCAGGCTCCCCCACCTATCAAGTCAAGAAAATATTTTACCAGGCTGTCTCCCACATACCACGTTTTAAATACATTTTAAAACATTTTACTTTTTATTTTACGTGTGGTGTTTTGCCTAAATGTATGCCTATGTACTGCAAACATGCCTGTAGGCAGGCCAGAACAGGCCATCAGATTCCCTGGAACTGCAGTTACACACGGCTGTTAGCCACTATGTGGGTGCTAGGAAATGAACCCCAGTATCTCTGTACGAGCAGCCAATGCTCTTTTAAGTACTGAGATGTCTCCCTAGCTTCCACCTGTAGAGGGATTTTAATTAAGAACACGGCTGCTCTAGCAAGAGATCACCTTCTAGGTCTGAGCGATAAAGCTGAAATACAGACATGCCTTTAATCCCAGGAGACAGAGGCAAGCAGATCAAGTTCAAGGCCAGCTTGGTATAGAGCAGGTTTCAGGTAAAGAAAAACTAGGGTCCAGGTGTGGTTTACACGCCTTTAATCCCAGCACTCAGGAAACACAGGCATGAAGAGCTCTTGAGTTGTAGTGAATGTTGTTCAATTGAGTCAGTGGAGTTGAGCTCATGGCAGTTGAGTTCATGGAATTCAGAGGGAGTTTTGCCTGGAGAGTTTTACAGGGAGAGCTTAAAGACGGAACAAGCTGGGCACAGATGAAGAGAGAAAGAGCCAGAGACTGAGAAGGAGCCAGAAGATTAGAACAGATTGCTAGAGTTAGTTTGAGGCCAAGCAGATCAATTCAGTGAGAAACGGGGAGAGAAACAGATTGAATCAGTTAGTTTGGAGAGGAGTTTGAGTCAGAACAGCTGAGTTGAGCCAGCCAGCAAGAGTTCAGAAAGAGCTGGGCATGCTAGTGCACACCCGTAATCCCAGCACTCAGGGAGGCAGAGGCACATGGATCTCTGAGTTTGAGGCCAGCCTGCTCTACATAGCGAGTCCAGGACAGCCAGAATACAGAGAGGAAGTGGACAGTTTCTAAATAAATTCTGACCCAGATTTCATGGGTGGATGAGACTAGAGAGACTTAGAAAGAGGATGGGAGTTATGGGCTTTGCAGAGAAGCTACCCAAAATACTGTAACTTTATTAGCAATCACAGATATTATATATATATATATGATATTTTACAATTATTTTTTTTTCCTTGGGGAGAGGGAGGGGAGTGCTGAGGATTGCCAGGCAAGCAGTCTACCACTGAGCTGCATCCCAACCTCCTAAACATTGTCGTGGTTCACAGGGAAACTAAATGTCCTTCCACCGAATGTCAATGATGCATCTTAAGTGGCGCGTTGCTGAAACGAGTTAAAGTGCACTTCCTGGGAATAAAGTGCAGGTGGCAGTTCAGCTCACGCATCTTCAGTTGAGTCCTGGGGCAAGTGCCCATGGCAAGATGAAGGACAAGGGAGTCACTTTCACAGACATGCAGCGGGTGGACTGTGTGGAGGCCGGCAGCTGCTGCTGTGCACACCGAGCACAAACCTCCCCCGTCAGCCAGTCTCCAGGACAAATGGGGCCAGCGAGTCACAACCCAGGGGCCATGGCACTCCTCAACCCGCAGACTGTGTGTTCTTGAGCGACAGGGATTCTTTCGGAGTGCTTTCGCTTCTGAAGATCGTGTCAGTCCTGAGGGGCCCACGGAGGAAAGTGACTGCCAGAGGCAGTACCCGACATCAGCTGTCCTTTATGACTAGAGGAGTGCTCTGTGTTCGAGCATTACTTAGCAGGGAGATTTCCCATCTTAGACCCGGATTAAAACTCCTTTGGAGGAAAGGGGACTCAGAATTCATACAGTGTTGGCCCTAGGGCTCTCACAGCTGCTTCTCACAAAGGAAGACTGTTCCCAACTTCACTAGCAGGAGCCTCAAGTCTAGTGTCTTCCAGAACTCCCTCATACAGCGACTTGCCACCATGAAGAGAATAGTAGGCCCAACATGCACTTTCTAAAAATCAACATGGCACAGTGAGTTGGGCATTAGCTATGCGGGTGACTGATTTTTGTTAACACAGGCTCCAACAGTGGGACAGGTACAATGGTGAGCTAAGGTCAGCTCTTCCTGCTTGCTTTTATGTCCTCAGCCCTGGCTTGTGTGCATGCTTTCCACGCAAGGCACCACTGAGCTACACCTCTAGTCCTGACATTTATTTTGTGGATTTTATTATTACATTTGTTTGTGTTTGGGCAGGGATTCACATATGCTACAGTTTGAGTGGAGGTAAGAGGCCAATTTGTGGGAGGACTTTTCTCTCCTTGTACCACCCGGATTGCCAGATTTGACAGCAAGCACCCTTACCTGGTGAACTGTCACCCAGGCCACTGACACTATTTTTTTGTTTGTTTTGAGACAGGGTTTCTCTGTGTAGCCTTGGCTGTCCTGGACTTGCTTTGTAGACCAGGCCTCAAACTCATTGGGATCTGCCTGCCTCTGCCTTCCCAAGTGCTGCGATCACAGGCAAGCACCATCACACCCGGGCTCCCTGACACTATTTTTGATGACAGTCTCTGACACGTCTTTCTAATATGCTAAGAGAGAAAATGGACTTTGCTTCCATTAGGCTGATCACCTGAAAAGGGTCTAAGAAAAAGGTCTCTGACCCTTCCTTTGACTCCCTGGCTTTTGCTAGAATTCTAGGACACTGTCCCTTCAGAGAAAGGTGTGTGGGGCATTCTCATCAAAAGGCATCTTTGATGTTCTTGAGCTGGCGCACAGCCAAGTCTACAGGAAGGCTGAACTTGAGGCTGCTGAGGCGGCTGAGCAAGTTGAGGGCACTCTCAAAACCTGTGTGCACCATGTAGCTCCAGGGCTGGTAATGGGGCTCGATGAGGGAGCCTGACTTGCAGATGAGGTTTACCCAGGACACCAGGCGCTGCTCATTTAGCGCCATGCACACCAACGCCTTCAGCTCCGAGTCCGCGCTGCGCCTGAAAGGGTCATGCTCTGTCAGGACCAGGTGGATGGCTGTCAGAAGGCTCTGTTTAGGGGTCACGGCAGTGCCACCCATTACAGGCAGGGCGAAGGACTCTGAGAGCTTCCGGGCTGGGGATTCCACATACGCGCGGCCATTCTTGGCATGATAGTACTTCACAAAGAGCTCCCAGGGGTGCATGGTCTCAGGGGCTGAGGAGAAGGCTGGCAACAAGCAAGCAATGGGAGCCATGACAAGGCTCATCCCAGAAGACGAGGCATGTAGTCCGTGGGCCAACAGGTCCCTCACAGCCACTGTCAGCTCCTTCCGCACAGCCATGGTCAGCTCATCCTTGCCTCCCAGACAGAGGTCCTGGAGGTTGGCTGAAGTGATGACATGGTCATGTGGCTGATGCCTCAGGGCTAGCTGCTTTACTCTGTTTACTGAGACTTCCAGCCTCTTCAATAAGGGGGAGTAGTCTCTGTCTGCCTGGTCCCTCTGCCACAAGGTTTGAGGGATCTGGCCTGTGGCGCAGCCAAACTGGCTAACAACAAAGATCTGGAGCACGGCCAGCGCTCGCCGCATCAGGTGCTGCCCTGTCTCCCGGACTCGCTTCACGTCTTCTGCCTTGGCTGTTTAGAAAATGGTGACTCATTAGAAAGAGGTCAAAATGACATAGAACATTCAACAAATCACAAGCTAGGTGCAAGCCTTGCTTCTGAGCCATGGTACAGGCACCACACAAAGGCAGGGATGTACCTGAACTGGCTTGATTTTGGCTGATAATACTAGCTGTAGCTTAGATACTATGCGGCTCATCCATTTCCAGTACACAGTTCAGGCTGCTGTTTTTTTAAACAGGATCTTGCTATCATGGCAGGCCTCACCCCTCAGCCTCCCTACTGCTGAGATTTCAGGCAGGCACACCATGTCCAGGCTGGTCTCAAACTCTTTACCTCCCTGCCTCAGTTTCTGAGGTGATAGGGTTCCAGGTATATGCCACCATGCTCAGCTTCTTTTTGTTGTGTTTCCTGGTGCTCAGGATTAAGTGCAGGGCTCTAGGACTCCATCTACGCTGGGCGTGTACTAGCCACCTCTCCTAGATCTAATCATTTCAAAATCATACTTAGGAGTTGCCTATCTGCTAGGCCAGATGCGCATGCCTGTGATCCTAGCACTCAGTAAGGCAGAGATAGGCGGATCTCTGTGAGTTCAAGGCCAGCCTGGTCTAAAAAGTGAGTCCAGAACAGTCAAGGCTTCAAAGAGAAACCCTGTCTTGAAAAAAAAAAAAATCCATATTAGAGTCTTTTCGATTATCCCCAAAAGATATCCTGCTCTATTATCATTTCCTCTTCTCCATGCTTCCCAAGACTCAAGCAATCACAAATCTTTAGCTAGCCTCTTTTTGCCAGATAGATTCTCAAGATGTAGTCCAGATTGACCCCGAACTCTCGGTCTCCTGCTCCCGCCTCCCACTTTTTGCTTTTGTAGCCTGTGTGTTCTAGGAGATGTACTCACTTTTGCTGGTTCCTGGGGGCAGTGTGCCGCTGCCTGTTCTGGTGGTGCCGTTTCCTGCCTTCCGGCTGGCTTTGCACTCACAGTGTTCACCCGTCTGCAAGGGGCTTCCCACTTCATCTAGGTTACAAAAATAAGACACATTTATCCCCTTCCTAGCAGATTTTTAAAAGGAAAAGAAGAGTTAATAGTGCCTACTCTATGACTGGCATTCTATAAATGATTGTGTTTCACTGTGTGAAAGGTGCCTGGTACAGCACAGGTGGCTCAATAAATATTTGCTTAGCAAATGAAGAATGAATCATCCCTAGTGAAGAGAGTAAGACTAAAGAGCGAGGAATGTGCTCAAGGACATGAGGCCAGCAGTGGACCTGAAAGGCCTGCTTCTAGACAGTGTTTTTTTTCCCATCCTACTCTGGCATACAGAAGAGGTCTCCCTCTGTAGGTCGGCCTGGAACTCACTTGTCATAGCAGGCTGGCCTAGAACCCAGAGGTCTGCCAGCCTCTGTCTCTCTGATTTTGAGGATTAAAGGTGTGCGCCACCATGCCCCATTCAAGTCCACAAAACAGTGAGAACTGGCTTCCTTACATACGAATGCTCAGACCACACTGAACTACCACACTGTCTGTCTTCCTCGTCCCAGATGCTCGCTGACCTTGGATGAAGCTGATGAACATCTCAAGATCCCGGATCTGGGTTTTCAGCTGCTCAACCAACTGCTCTTTGACCCGAGCCGGGTTAACAATCTGAGCCACTGCTGCGTCCACACGCTGGCGAAGCTCCTCAGTGGACAGGGAGCTGATGTCCTCATTCAGATTCATGTCCAGTTTCTTTATTAACTCGTCAATGATCACCTGTCAAGATCACAGCAATGAGGGTACCCTTTGCAGTTCTCAAGCGGAGGGCTAAGGAGGTGAATCTTAGCGAGGCTTCTAGTCTCAAGCCACACTGACCTCTGACTTCAGGAGAAACGGGTGCAGCTGCTGGATAGGGCTGGAAAGACAGCTCGGCAGAGGAAAGCGCTTGTTACATAAGCCTAGTGACCTGAGTTGGAGCGGCAGAACCCACACAAAGGGTGAAGGAGAGACTGTGTGCTATGCCACCTGCACACCCACACTCATACAATAATTTAAAGAGAAAGATGAGGACGCAGACTCTCTTCCTTTTAGATTAACCCTGAGCTCAGGGCTGGGGAAGAAGCTTGCTTGTGGACCGTTTGCCTAGCAGAAATGAAGACCTGGGTACACCACTCTCAGCGCCATATCAGGTGGAAGATGTACACCTGTCTGTCATCTACGCATGTGGAAAGAGAAGGCAGGAGGATCACAAGTTCAAGGTCATGCTTGACTATTCAACAAATTATGAGGCCAGCCTAGGTTATATGAGACCTGTCTCAAAAAACAAACAAACGAAACAGAACAAAAGAATACTTAGTTCCTTTTGATTGGAAATGGTACCTCTCATGCACTGTGAGTTTACCAGGCCATTAAGCTTTCATCCAGTAGGACAGGGTAAATGATCCAAAGTGGCTAAAGACCCCATAGCCTCATGTTTGGGCTGGAGAGATGGCTCAGCAGTTAGGGGCACTGGCACTCTCTCACAGGACTTGGGCTGTTGGCAGCACCCACATGGCATCTCACGACCTCTGTGACTCCGCTTCAGTGGTCCGCCACCCTCGTCTGGCCTCCACAGGCCTTCCATGCACAAGGTACACAGGTGTATATGCAGGCAAAACACTCACTCACATAAAACAAAAATGAATAACGTCCCAAGAGCTTTATATTTATTTTCTCTAAAGGCTTCCAAGTGAATATATACTTATTTTGTAATTTCTAATCCTTTTTATTGATGAAAACAAGTGATAAAGGAGCTTTGAAAGGGAGCGAGCAAGAAAGAGAGACTGATTTGGACCTGCAGTTCTTGGTAAGGCCGTGGGAGAGGTGTACTGGGGACAGGCTATGCTGGCATACTAGCAGCAGGGACACATTAGCTGTGAGAAATGCTGGTGTCACCTCTAAGGTCTGCTCACCCGCTGTCTTTCCAAGACCACAGACTGTGGCAGGGAGTCATAACTGCCCTCCTGATAAGCGAATGTTTCCAGGTCATCAAGCTGGGTCTTGAGCTGCAGAATCAGCTCCTTCTGCTTCTCCCTCTGGGTTTCCAGGCGCTCCCGTTTTTCCTGCTCACTCTATGATGAGAAAAACACCTGAGTCTATTTCATAGAAAAGAGAAACCACAGGCACTTTTAAGACTCTAGGCAGAAAATGACCAGGAAAATGTATAATGCTTCCAAATAGGTCAATGAAACAATTGACAGGTTCAGCAGTAACGATATACTTCACCCAGGGCAACTGATTACGGTTTCTTTAAGAAGTGATCATCCCTTCATTGCAAACAGAATACAAACACAAGGAAGCCTTTGGTGAAGAGACTTGTTGTTTTTCAAAGGTCTAGTGAGGAGAGAGAACACTTAGGTAAGATGGCCTCCAGGAATTAAAGGTGTCATCCTCCACAGCCAGTGAACACAGCTTAACTCTTCAGTACTCGTGCAAACGGTCTGCGCAGCTGTCTGGGGGTGAGCCAGGAGTGGTGGCTTGTGAAGGCTTAGGATCAGATGTCAAGTCCAGCATGAGCTAGATAGCTAGTTTGAGGCTGGGTATAATGAGAGCCTATCTCAAAAAGCAAAGCCTTGGGGCCTGAGAAAGGCTTTATGTATGTAGAAATCAACCCGTTTTTGGAAATTTCAAAGGTACTTGGGAAGGTTATAACTATTTCCGTAAAAGGGGAAACAATGAAAATGTAAGGCACAGAAACACATAGAAGGGAAGTCGCGGGGTGGGAAACTAACAGTGAGGGCGTACGTGTGGGGCGAGGTTCTCTGAGGACAACTGCCTTTCCACTGCCAGCTACCGTGTAGCATCCTTCAGTGGGATCAAGTCTCAATATAGAGACTGGGTATTCATCATTTTTGAGTTCAAACTCAAACCAAAACAAAAAAGCAAGCCAGACAGGACATGTACACCCGTACTCCTCAGTGAGTGTCAGGCCAGCCTGGGCTACATATATAGATGCTGTCTTAACAAGTACCACCACGGCACGCACGCACACACACAAAACCCTAAAACAAAAACAAAACAAGGGGTTGGGGATTTAGCTCAGTGGTAGAGTGCAAGGCCCTGGGTTTGGGCCTCAGCTCTGGGGGGGGGGGGGGGGGGCGGGGGGGGGGGGGGGGGGGGGGGGAGCCAAAGGAGCAGAGGCATTAAACCACTTGTAGGCATAATAAGGCTGGACTTAAGCTAGGATCTCCACAGTATTAAAAGTTAGCCTTAGGGGCTGGAGAGATGGCTCAGCAGTTAAGAGCACTGTCTGCTCTTCCAAAGGTCATGAGTTCAATTCCCAGCGACCACATGGTGGCTCACAACCATCTGTAATGCGAACTGATTCCCTCTTCTGGCGGTGCAATTGCAGATAGAACACTCATATACATAAAATAAATAAATCTTAAAAAGACAAAACAAAACAAAACAAAACATACGTTTAAAAAAAAAGTTAGCTTTAAAGCAGTACTTACCAAGCCCTCAAGAAGCAAGGTAGGAGAGAGTAGAGACGAAAAACAAAGAATCAACTTTCGTTCAACTTCATAAACGCAATCCCCTTCCTTAGCTTTGGTGAACATGAAAGCAAGCCTCCACACACTCCCCAGTCCACTGTCGGGGCGCTGCTTGTTCTCAGAGCCCCATTCTCTTCCTCAGATAGTAACTAGGTCTCCACCAAAGGCTCTTCCGGGTTTACTCGAGGAACAAGTCATTTCTTCCTTTGTGTTATGTACTCTTACTCATTATAGTGTTTGTTTAAGACCTGCCTCTGCTAACCTATTGACTCCTGAAGGGCCTTGATTTTCAATCCCCAGTGCACCCAGAACTGTGTCCAGCATGGGGTAAATTCTCAGTACGCACTTTTTTCTTCCTTAAAAAAGAAAAAAAAATTTTAAATGTTATTTTACGTGTATGGATGATTGGCCCACATGTATGTCTGTGTACCGCCTGAGAGCCTGGTGGCCACAGAGGCTAGTGGAGGGTGTCTAATGGAACAGTGATTATAGACAGTTGGGAGCTGCCATGTAGATGCTGGGACTCAAACCTGGGTCCTCTGCAAGAGCAGCCTGCTCTTAACCCGGAGCCATCTTTCCAGCCCTCAGTACCTATTTCTTACGTGTTTTTGGACTGAATTAGGTACAGAATAACAAATTCTAGATCAGCTCTGACTGGAGGATGTTGTCTAACTAGTCAAAAGAGAAAGAAACAAAGAAACGGTCCACCTTTGTCATCCCTTTGTGAAGCCAAGGGAGAGGGACACTAGCTGTAAATCCTGACTTGTTTCCATGACTACTCTGCCAGAGCAGCTCACTTGCTGTCGTAGTTACAGCGTATCTGCTGGAGCTGTGCAAACAAATTTAACAGGAAGGACAATGAGTTCTGGGGCAAGGCAGGAAATGATAGATTTAATTTCCAGTACACACGGAGATAAAGCTGAAAGTAATTTGGAGAGGCTGGGGAGATGGCTCAGTCCATCAAGTGCCTGCGTAGCATGCACTGGGTGCTGTGTTCAAACCTTAGCACTGACAAACTGTGAATGGCCCCATGCCTATAATCTCAGGATTCAGAAGGTGGAAGCAGAAAGATCAGAAATTCAAGGTTAGGAACACCAAGCCTGATGACCTGTTTGATTTCTTTTTTCTTTTTCTTTCTTTTTTTTTTTTTTTAAATTTCTTGGTTTTTTGAGACAGGGTTTCTCTGTGTAGCCCTTGCTGTCCTAGACTCACTTTGTAGACCATGCTGGCCTTGAACTCACAGAGATCCGACTGCCTCTGCCTCCCCGAGCGCTGGAATTACAGGCGTGCGCCACCATGCCCAGCTCAGCCTGTTTGATTTCTATAACTTACGTTCTAAGGAAGAACTAACTCCTTAAAGTTGTCCTCTGACCTCCACATGCAGGCTGCGACACCAGCACTGTGCTCACACTCACTCTCTCACACACACATATTTGAAAAGAGTACTTCAAGGTCATTCTATGGCAAGTTCAAAGGCAGCCTGGGCCAGAGAACCTGTCTTAAAAAAAATAATCAATGACAATAATCTTAAGAGCTGAGGACACAGATTAATTGGTGACAGAACACTTGCCTACCACATGCAAGTCCCTGGATTCCATCCCCAAGACTGTCCCTTTTGCCCCCCAAAATAGAAAAACTACATCACTCAGCCCAAAGATGTCCTCCACTCAGGTTCTACTTGTTCATACATCAATGTATGCACTTAAGAATAAAGCTGCTTTATTCTGTGCTGCCTGCCTGTAATCCCAGCATTTGGGAGGCAGAGGCAGGCAGATTTCTGTGAGTTCGAGGACAGCAGGAGTTCAAGGCCTCACAGTCTACAAAGCCAGTCCAGGTCAACCAAGGTTACACAGGGAAACCCTATTGGCGGGGGGTGGGAAGAATACAGCTGTACAGCTGTTGGGGCTGGAGATGGAGAGATGGCTCAGTGGACCCAGGTTCAATTCCTAGCACCCACATAGACAGCTCACAACTGTCTATAACTCTAAGATCTAACACCCTCACAGAGACATACATGCAGACAAAACATCAATGCAGTAAACAAACTTAAAAAAAAATACAGCTGCTTTAATGGTGAGCACAATTTTTTACGGCATCACAGAGGAAATTTTTCCACAAGTGACAATGAACAATAAAAAGAGAGTATCCCGTCTGCACAGGCCCTTTCATGTCACTCATTACTACACAGAGCCTGGCTACTTTGTAAGCCTCTCGACTCTGCCTGCCTGCTCCTTGCAAAAGGATATATGGGCATGAAAAGGAAGGAACAGTAGCCAGTATCGGCTACCAGTAAGTTTTCCTGGCTAAAGCCATTTCGAGTGGGAAGCGAGCCACCTGTGGACCATGATCTGCAGAACAGGAAGGGGAAAGGCGGCCTGTCTCACTACTTCCAGCTTCCAGAGATTCAAAGTTTGTAAGGAACCTTTCCTGTGGTTTACAGGATTCCACTGTTTCTTCAGTGTACTGAAGAATGCACTTGTCAGTCAGAAGGGTCCTTTCAGAGAAACCCGTTATTTAGCAGTTTGAAGATATTGTTAGGACAGCCTTAAAATCAGGTGTATTTCTTTCCACTGCCAAGGGAAGGCGTCTATTCACCACACCTCTCACTGAGATAGGCGTAAAGCTTACAGCCTATCTATATGCCAAAAAGCATGGGGCGTCAATTTAAATTTCCATGGGCTCGAATTTACTTCCCTTTCACTAGTCACTTCTCCCGGCTTCCAGGCTCATTCTATCAGCAAAGTGCTCAGGGCTGGAGGTATACCTCAAAATAGGTGTACCCTATTTTGGTGTGACCCAAACACAGTCGGGATAAGTACCTCAAGGCGTGGGCGAGGTAAGGGGAGGCATCCATTACCCAGTGCCTTTCCAATACCCCTTTCAATGCCCGCCATATGCCTTTTTGCATCTTCCCTCCTCCAGTCTCTTTATCTTGTATTCGCGTACCTACAGTACTTGCAGCTTGCTCGCTCCTCACCCTCTCTACCTCCGTCCTCGTCAGCAGCACCAACCACTTTCTACCTGCCTGCACCACATTCTTCCTCCTCCTCCTCCTCCTCCGGGCCCAGCCCCAGACACTCACCTGGTCCTCGCCCCGCACCCGTGGCCGGTCCCCCGGCCGCCCATCGCCTTCGCCGCCGCCGCCGCCGCAGGGGTCCTCCAGCCCCTCGTAACCCAGGACGTGCGGACAGCCGCGGAAGGCGAAGTCCTCGAGCTCGCGCAGGAGACGCTGCTGCTCCGCCGGCGCCCCGCGCACTACCTGGCGCAGGCGGAACTGCACCTGAGCGAAGTGCGAGGACAGCGCGAGCAGGGCCGAGTCCAGCTGCCGCCGCTCGGCTTGCAGCCGCCTCACCGTGCGGATGGACGCGTCGGGAGGGGAGCCCGGAGCCGCTCCAGCCTCCTCGGCGGCCGCCTCCTCCGAGAACGTTGCCGCTCCAGGACCGGCCTCGGCCACCGCCCCGACGGGGGCCCAGCGCACAGTCTCGCATGGTGGCAACGACTCCTCCTCCTCCTCCTCTTCTTCGTCCTTCGCCTTTGGCCCGAAGGCCGTCGCCACGGTTCCCAGCTCCGCTGTCGCCTCCACCGTCGCCATCTTCCCGGAAACGCCGCCGCACGTCAGTCGCGCCCCCTTGCTGCCATGGCAACGGGCGCTGGCCGGGAAGCCGGGGGGGAGCGGTGGGCGGGGTCTGCACGCCACCGACCTCCCGAGGGCCCGCCCCCTCGACACTTCTTTAAGTGCATTTTGTGAATTAAGCACAGGAGTACTCTGCGTTGGAGGAACAAGTGAACGAGGCCGAGGACAAGTAATTTCCTCCTGATAGGGTCTAGGGTAGTCCTTTCCCTGGCCACAGAGGGTAGAGCTGGTATCCTGATCCGTGTATTTCTGGAGAGCCCGAGAGGTGAAGGGATGCAGCAAAAGCTCCCAGAGTCCCTCTGGAGTGCAGATCACTTTTTCTGTCCAGCCACCCTTCAGTCCCTTCCTCTCAACCCTTCCCCCTACCATATAAGGAGAGCAGCTGCTAGGGGTATCTCTGGGTTCTAAAGATAGTACCGGGCCCTTGCTTGGGACTCCAAAAGCCACCAGGCAGCTGGAGCCACCATGGAACGGTGAGTGTCAGGCCGCACTCGTACAGATCCTATCTACCCCTTGCCCGTTTCCCTGCAGATTTCCAGCCCCACATCTTGTAAGACGCTGCCGACTTCTGCCCATCGGAGCCCCAGACTCCAGGTCTCTGTGACTGTGGGTGAGAGGGGTGGTGTGATCCGAATGTACCTCCTAACTCCTACTTCCCTTGTCTTTCTGGGTTTATCCTCACCACTGCCACCCGCCCCTACCGCTCCCCTCCACCTGGTTCAAGCAGGACCCCATACAACCATATTGTCTCCTCCCTCCACCTCCGTGTTGTCTTCAAGTCCCCACCTCCAACCTCTTCAGGCAGCATGCTCGGACCCTGTGGTACGACAGACCCAAATACGTTTTCATGGAGTTTTGTGTTGAGGACAGCACCGACGTGAGTGTGCTCATTGAGGACCACCGCGTTGTGTTCAGGTAGTAGCCGTTCCCTCTGGACGGGCCTGGTGGCTCAAGAACCTATAGTCCTGGTGTTTCAAGAAAGGTCCCTTCAACTCCTCCTAGGTCTTACCTTTTTACCGTATCTTTAGCTGCAGGAATGGTGATGGAGTGGAGCTCTACAACGAGATTGAGTTCTATGCCAAGGTGAACTCCAAGGTGAGGGCAGGGTAAGGACTGGCAGGTCTGGACAAGAAAGGCTGGCCAAGCGAAGAACCTGGAGGTTCATCCTAAAATGCAGTCTGTGAGAATGAGGCTGTCTGTCTGACAGGACTCCCAGGATAAGCGCTCTGGTCGCTCCATTACTTGCTTTGTGAGGAAATGGAAGGAGAAGGTGCCCTGGCCTCGGCTCACCAAGGAGGATATAAAGGTGAGTGTGTGGAGCCTGGTCTAATAGGGCCATGTTCGCCGTGGACCCAGGCACCACAGTTGTATCTGGATCGTGTTTGCCTTCTTTCCAGTCAGTATTCAGTGGGTCCTCTGGGGCCTGCTTGTTAAATCTCCCAAACATTCTGGAATCTATAGATTTCCTTCTAGTCTAGAAAGGAAGTAGTCTTTGTCTGCCTGTCTGTCTGTTTTTCCAAGACAGGGTTTTGGCCACTGTGCCCAGCAGTCTTTACATTTATTTAGTAATTTTTTTCCACAGTTAAAAAAAAAACTATTTTGAAGCACGACAGTGGTAAGGCACACCTTTAATCCCAGCACTCAGGAGGCACAGGCAGGCAGATCTCTGTGAGTTCAAGGCCAGCCTCATCTGCAAAGTGAGTCCAGGACAACCAAGGCTACACAGAGAAACCCTGTCTTGGAAAAAAGAATTATTTTGAAGGGGGGGAGTGATGGCACACGCCTTTAATCTCAGCACTTGGGAGTCTGAGGCAGGTGGACAGCCAAGGCTACACAGAGAAACCGTCTCAAAAAAACAAAAAAAAATTTTTAATTAAAAAAGTTTTTTTGAGGGGCTGGACAGGGTCTCAGTGATTAAGAGCACTGGTTGCTCTTGCAGAGAACCTGAGGTGAATGTGCATCTCCCACAGGATGGCTCACAACCATCTGTAACTCCAATTCCAGGAGAGCCAACACCTTCTTCTGCTTTCACGGGCACGTGGTACACATACCCACAAGCAGGCAAAACAGTCACACACATATGATAAATACATCTTAAAAATTAATTTGACTGGCTACTGACATTCACAATTTTTGATTTGTTGCTGTCATTAAAAAAATATAGATTACGGGGCCTGGTGACAGATAAATGAGAGAATTGAACTCAGGATCTCTGGAAGAACAGCCAGGGCTCTTAATTTTGCTGAGCCATCTCTCCAGCCCCTACCCCCCAAAATCTTTGAAGTGAATATATACAAACTTTAATTTCCCTTTGTTTTGTTTTGAGGTGGGGTCTCTTGCAGCGGAGATTGAACTGTATCTTGCTATATAGCTGAGGGTGATCTTGAACTCCTGGTTCTCTAGGCTTCACCCGGGGTGCAGCATTACACCGGCTTGAAGCGGGCACTGTGGAATACTGCCCTCCAAGGGTCGCCTCTGGCTCTAGGGAATGCAGCTTGTCTGTCTGGCCTGGTTGAGTCCTAGGGTGTTTTGTGTTACTCCCCAAGTCCATCAGCCCCTGCAGGTAGAACTCTGCGGCATTGTGTCTGGCACAGAGTAGATTCTGGTGAACATTTATGGATGCAGCTTGGAGGGCGGATTGGCCAAAAGGGGTGCAGCTGGGAGCACTGTACCACACTGACCTTTCTCTCTGAGGCCCTCATCTGTGCACACACACGAGCCCCCAATTTTTTTCCGTGTACTCTTTCTCCTCTCCATCCTCCCTGTGACGACTTATGCTTCCTCCTGCAGCCTGTGTGGCTCTCTGTGGACTTTGATAACTGGAGAGACTGGGAAGGAGATGACGAGGTGGAGCTGGCTCAGGTGGAACACTATGCGGAGGTAGGAGACACGGCACCTGCTTCCCATCTTCATCATTCTCTGTCTGTCTGCACACATGCATCTGGGATATTGGAGTGCCTTCGGCAGGCAACTGATATGCTAATATGCTGCATATTTTATTCATGGTGTATGTAGCAGAAATGAGAGAAATTAGTATTAGTGAAATTTAAAAGAAAAAATTTAAAGACTTATTATATTTATTCATTTATTGAGAAAGGGTCTTAACTATGTAGTCCTGGCTGTCCTGGAGCTCACTCTGTAGACCAGGCTGGCCTCAGACTTACAGAGATCCACCTGCCTCTGCCTCCCGAGTGCTGAAATTAAAAGTATGCAACATCATGCCCAGTGTTATTCTTTTTATTTACATCTACGTGTGTGTTGGATCCCTTGGGGGCTGGAGTTACAGGTGGTTGTGAATTTTCTGATGTGGGTGTTAGAAATGAAATTTGAATTCTCTGGAGGGGAAGCAGGTACTGTTAGCTGCTGAACAATCTGAAGAAAAAAAAAAACCCAACAACTTAATACATTTTACGTATTTATTTGGGAGGAGAAGATGCCTAAAAGCCACAGCATCCGTGTGGAGATGGGTAAACAAACTGTGGGAGTCTGTCTTCTATTTCCAACATGTAGGTCCCAGGGATTGAATGCATGTCATCAGGCTTGGCAGCAGGTGCCTGTTCATACTGAGCCATCTTGCTCAATATGATTAAAATGTGTAAAATTAATAAAATTTCACACAGCTTCACTTACTGTTTGCAGAGTAGTTCCTGCATTCTGTAAAATTGTAACAAAGCCTTTCCCACCACTCTATTATAACTCTTGTTCTCTTCTATGATTCTATGAGTTTTTCCTAAGCTGGAAAGTTCACAGGAATATAAAACTAAACACTACAAAATTCCATATTATAGGGCTGGAGAGATGCCTCAGTAGTTAAGGGCACTGAATGCTCTTGCAGAGGACCTGGGTTCAATTCCCAGCACCCACATGGCAGCTCACAATTGTCTGTAACTCCTGTTCCATGGGATCCAGAACCCTCACACAGGCATACATGCAATCAAAACACCAATGCACATAAAATAAAAGTAAATAAATTATTTTTAAAATTTCATATTGTAAATTACTGGTCCTCCATAAAAAAATATCTGTCACATGTGACTTTGTTTTAGAAGACCAGAAGCTTCCTTAATTCAAATCATGAAAGGACTCACAGACCCCCGATTTGGATTGATAAGGAGGGTGCTTTGTGAGTGTGTTTAAATTGACTTGTTTTTCTTTTGTGAGAGAGGGCCTCCCTATGTAGCTTAAGCTGATCTTGAACATGCTATCCTTCTGCTTCAAGCCTTGTGTGTGCAAGGATTATTGGCCTGTGACATCACACCGACTTTAAATTAGATTTTTTTTTTTTTCAGAGCCTAGGACTAAACCTAGGGCCTTGTGTTTGCTAGACAAATGCTCTACCAATAAGCTAAACTCCCAACCCCCAAATAGATTGTTTTTAAGAGTTATTTTCATCTTGTTTTTTTGTTTGTTTGTTTGTTTTTTGTTTTTAACTTACTGCATATATGTGTGTGCCTGAGTGAGTTTGTGTTCACCAACTGCATGCAGGGGCTGACGGAGGTCAGAGGCCAGTAACTGCCTGATGTGAATTCTAGGAACTAAACTTGGTTTCACTGCAAGAGCAGTTAAGTGCTCTTAACCACTGAGCCATCTCTCTAGACCCTGGCCCTCCTTCTCTCTCTCTCTTTCCTCTCTGTCTTTCTCTCTGTCTCTCTCTCTCTCTGAGACAGAGTTTCTCTGCATAACTGCCCTAGCAGTCCTGGAACTCACTCTGCAGACCACTCTGGCCTCGAACTCACAGAGATAGCTACCCATTCCCCTGCCTCCTGGGTGCTAGGATTCAAGGCATGCACCACCAGGCCCGGCTGGCCCTGCCCCTTTCAAGACAGGGTCTCATGTAGCCCAGGCTGGCCTCGGGAACTGCCTATATAGTGAGCTGAGGCTAGCTTTGAACCCCCGATCTCTCCCTGCCTCCACTTGTTAAGTTCTAGTATTGCAAGCAAGAACCAACACACTCTGCCTGAGGTTCACTTTTGTAAGCTACCACTTGGTGCTGGGAACCCTCCCCAGGGTCCCGATCAAGAGCAGCAAGTGCTCCTAACTGTTGGATGCTTAATTCCAGCGCCCTCCGGCAGGGACCATTCTCCAGGCTCTGCTATTATTCAGGCTGCTCTTCCCTCACCCCTCCTCTCTTGTGACTGTTTCTCTCTCGCCATTAGCTTTTGAACAAGGTCAGCACTAAGAGACCTCCCCCTGCCATGGATGATCTGGACGTAAGTAACACCTTCCCTAGATCCTTCCGTTTTCCTTAAACTCTAAAATGACACATTAGAGCGGGGTACAGCTCAGTGAGGGAGTGTTTTCCCACCATGCATGAGACCCCCGCCCTCCAAAGAGGAATAGGGAAAAAGCACAGCATAAAAGAACCTGCATTCCATCTTCTGACACACGGTTGTTCTCTGCATGTTAACCAAGTCTGAACTTGACACCACGAGGCTGGGTGTTCTCTAAACCTCTCCCTTCCTCCGCATGCTAGAACAAACCTGGCTCCGATGGATGCCTTTGCCCCTTTAAGGAGCAATAGCACCCCCTGAAACTCTTAAAACAAGTGACACACAGTAAGAGTGCTGTTCACTGAACCCTGGTGATTTATCTCATTACCCAAAGTTGGCATCCTAAGAGATGTGACTCAGGGTTTTAGGAGAGCAGGGGGAGTGGGCAGCAGCTGTGAAAGTCATCATAGAAACCACAGGTACTTTGTCTTCTCCCTTCAGGATGATTCCGACAGTGCGGATACAACAACTACCTAGCTTTCTGTGAGCTGCAGAGGAGGCTGAAGCTACCGACGGTGTGCTGAGAAGCTGCGATGGGGCCTTCTTCAACTATTTCATTATGCATCAAGAACTGCTGAGACCTCACAACATTTCCAGAAACTCTTTCTTTAGGGGACCCTCTCCATCTATTAGGTCTTCCTCCTGGGTACCTCAGTGTAGTCCTACGTCAGTTGCGGGGAGGGGGGGGTCAGGGTTCATCCTGACTGGTAGGGCTTCCGACTTCCCACTGATTTGACTTAAAAATCTATGCTTTGGATGCTTTGTTTTTTGGACACGTGTTTATACGTGGTAAAGCAAAGGCCAAAGAAGAAAGAGATTACAATAAATTCTAGGAGTGATCCTGTCTCTCTCCTCCTCGTACTTTCCCCTACCTGTGAAAAGCCTTTTATTTCTCTCTCTCTCTCTCTCTCTCTAGAGATTCTGGCCCCTTTTGCAGTGGGAAGATGTTCCTGGACAGGCTTGTATGCAGATGGCTGTCACCCCTAGACCATTAGCTACCTGTACATCTTCCCTTAACCATCTCTGTGGTTAAGAGTGTGCAGTGTTTTTTTCAGAGGACGGGAGTTTGGTCCTCAGGGCTGATACCAGGTGGCTTACAACCACCTGTAATTCGGTGCACATACAAATAAACAAATAAATAAATAAATAAATAAATAAATAAATAAATAATCCAAATTATTGCCAGCAGTCATGGCACACACCTTTAATCCTAGCACGTAAGAGGCAGAGGCAGTCGGATCTTTGTGAGTTCGTGGCCAGCCTGGTCTACAAAGTGAGTTCCTGGTCAGCCAGGACTGTTAGACAGAGAAACCCTGTCTCGAAAAGACAAAAACAAAACTAAAAGTCCAAATTATCATAAATCACAGGTTTCTGAGGCTTGTGGGTTAAATGTCTCCCCTTTAGTTAAGAAAAAAAAAAAGTTACCTGTTGAAATATTTTGGATGTTGGCGTTAAGTAAAATTTTAACATAGATAGATGCCTTATCTATTTCCGTCCAGGCCGTCTTATTTCCACCTGCATGCAGCAGGTTCCCCGAAGGTCCAATTACACGGCCCCAAGAGCGAGCTGAACAACCTCTCATCCTGAGCTGTGAATCTTGCTTTGCGGTCTTTCAGTCTTAAAACAGCGACCCAACAACACAGAACACCTGTCAGTTAGCAGTTTCAGTAAGCCCGGTCAAGCCACGCCCCTTCCCTCACGGTTTAAGAAAGTTTGTCCCACGTCGCTCTCCATCCTCCGCCCGGCTCTTCTGCCCGCGCGGGGGCCCCCTCTGGCCTAGGAGACAGCCATGGCGTTCCTGTGTCAGCGCGACAGCTACGCGCGGGAGGTGCGGCCTGGTGGGCGAGGGTCCCCGAGGCCGAGAGTGCCCCGGGAGGGACGGCGAGGAATAATGTTCTGTCCCCTCTCTCTGCCCAGTTCACCACCACCGTGGTCGCCTGCCGTCCCGCCGAGCTGCACACGGACGCGAGCGGCGGCAAGAAGGAAGTGCTGAGCGGTTTCCAAGTGGTTCTGGAGGACACGCTGCTCTTCCCCGAGGGCGGGGGCCAGGTACCAGGAGCAGCCTCCCCGACCCCTTCCCACGAGCCCCCACATTCCTGTTCGCAGAAAATATGCTCACCCTTCCTCAGCATCCATAAATCAGACAGATGTCAGTTCACTGCGTTATTCTTTCAGCAGGTGCTCACGTAGATGCGACACATGCAGTGTGTCATATTCCTGGTGCTGGGGTGGCGCACGCCCCGGGATCCCAGCATTCTGGGAGGCAGAAGCAGGCGGCTGGTTCTCTGTGAGTTCGAGGCCGGCGTGGTCTACAAAAGTGTGTCCGGGACAGTCAAAGCTGCCCAAAGAAACCGTGTCTTGAAAAAACCAAAACCAAGCAAAACAAAAGCCAAACACACAGAGTGCTTATGGCAGACAACTGTGTGTGTCAGGTGTAAGGGATGATAATTTCACTAGGCATACAGCTGGGCGAAGATTGGTGGAATGCTCTCCTTTGTAGATTATTCCATACAAATGTCTGATGGGAAGGGTGAGCTGCTGCAGCTGGGTGTGGTTCTGGGACAAGAGAACGATTTCCGGTAGACAGAATAGCTCTACAAAGGCCCTGAGACAAGAAATGGGATAAAGTGTTTTACGGGGACTGTTTTTCTTTTTTTGAGTTAGTTTCTCTGTATAGCCTCAGCTGTCCTGGACTCACTCTGTAGACCAAGCTGGCCTCCACTTCACAAGAGATCCGCCTGCCTCCGCCTCCCAGAGTGCTGGGATTTATAGGCATGAGCCATTTCGTAACTGTAGCATCAGTGCTGAGGACTGAGTGGTTAAAGGCAGGGCCTCGCAGGTCACTGTAGAGAACTGTTACAGATAATCTAAGTCAGTAGTTCTCAACCTTTCTAATGCTTCGGCCCTTCAGTACAGTTCATCCTGTGGTGGCCCCCAACCATACAATTATTTTCACTGCTCCTTCATGACTGCAATTTTGCCACTGTTAGGAATCGTAATATAAACATCCGATATGTGATTCCTGTGAAAAGATCCTTTGACACCGCCCTCCAAGGGGTTGTTGACCCACAGGTTGAGAACCACTAATCGAAGGTGGCAAAAATGAGGATTAAGGTTTAGTAAACTCTTCAGGGCTGCACTTACTTCTTTTTGTTTTAATTCTGCTATTCTAACATAAAACAAAACAAAACAAAAACAACAACATTTATAGGTATTCCAAAAGAGGACAAGGAATCCTGTCATGGAACAAAGTGGGCCCACCTCACTTGACTCCTCTTCCCCTAGGGAGTTCAGGTTCTGGGTCTGTCTGTCTGTCTTAGAGCTTCCTGTAGAGGTTTTTTTTGTTTGTTTGTTTGTTTGTTTTTTCCATCTAGTTAGGGCGAGCCCTGGCCCAGTGTTGCTTGCTTCTCTCCCCCAGCCTGATGACCGTGGTACCATCAATGACATCTCTGTGCTGAGGGTGACCCGTCGTGGGGCCCAGGCAGAGCATTTCACACAGACACCTCTGTCCCCTGGGAGCCAAGTCCAGGTCCGGGTGGACTGGGAGAGGAGGTTTGACCACATGCAGCAACATTCAGGTAAGGGCCGCAGGATGGGGCCGTGCAGTGTCTTAGTAATGACTGAGGCTGGGTTTCGGCTCGCTAGGAGTGAGCCTTTTGGAGGGGGTCGACATGCTTAGAGTCAGCTTGGATTCAGGCAGTGTGTTGTGAAAAACAACGTGAGCATTAAAGTTCTAGAACTATTGGCTTTTTTCCTCCTTTTTAAATTAAAAAAGCTATCAGGGAGAGGGGGTTTGCCCATGTCATGTGATGTGGTGGTCGGAGGACAACTCGTGGGAATCAGTTCTCTCCTTCAGCCATCTGAGGGTTGATCTCAGACTGTCAGGAAACTCCTTTCTCACCAGCCCGTTCTTATTTGTTTTTGTTTTTTGTCCAGACAGGGTTTCTCTGTGTAGCCCTCGCTGTCCTGGAATCAGTCTATAGACCAGGCTGGCCTTGAACTCATAGACATCCCCTGCCTCTGCTGAAATTAAAGGCATATGCTGCTACCACCTGGCCCTTTCTTGGCTTTTTGGGGGATAAGGTTTTCCTACATAGCCTTGGTTGGTCCAAAACATAATATGTAGATCAGACTGACCTCCTGCCTCCTAAATACTGGATTACAGGCCTGAGCCGCCATGCCCACCCAGTTACTGCTGGTTAGAGTTTTCCCACTTGCTGTTTCTATCTGCATGTCTTGTAGGTTTTCAAATTCACCGAGATGAAATTCGCCACCTTCTACCTGGGCTTGCTTTAATACCCTGCTGGTCAGCTGGGCATGGTGCTGCACACCTTTAATCCTAGCATTCAGGAAGGCAAAGGCAGGCAGATCTCTGTGAGTTTGAGGCCAGACTGGTCTACAAAACGAGTCCAGGACAGCCAAGGCTACACAGAAAAATCCTGTCTCAGAAAAAGAAAAACAGGAGGCTAGAGAAGATGGCCTATAGGATAAGAGCTCTGACTGCTCTTCCAGAGGTCTGGAGTTCAATTCCCAGCAATCACATGGTGGCTCACAACCATCTATGAGATCTGGCGCCCTCTTCTGGCCTGCAGGCCTACATGCAGGAAAAACACTGAGCTATTAAATAAATAAAATGTTAAAAAATGTTAAGAAAAAGAAAAACAACCCTCCCCCCAAATAGATAGATAGATAGATAGATAGATAGATAGATAGATAGATAGATA